GGCCGCCCACATCGGCCGTCCCGCCCACCACCTCCCTGTTGCTGCTGGCCTGGTACACTGCCGACTTGACGAAGAGCTCCGCTGCCGCACACACACGGCGGGCCATGTCGCTGTGCCGCACACCGATGGCCTCACCGATGGCCTCCTGGGCGGCATCCATGTCGAAGAGGTATGACGCGATGCGCCAGCCGAAGATGGCGGCCTCCTGCGGGCCGACGGCCAGCCGGGAGGTCAGGAGGGCCGCGAGGGAGCGGTGGGGGGCGAGGGCGGCGCTGACGGCGGCGCTGACGGCGGCCATGACGGCAGTGGGCAGCTGGTTGAGCACTGTGGGGTACTCTGTCAGCACCAGCTGGCGCTGACGGCGACGGTCCTCTGTGGTTGTGGGGATGGTGGGGATGGTGGTGATGTCGGCCCCCGCCCGCAGCAGCGAATGGATGATGCGCTTGTAGTTGTCAATCTCAGCGCGATCCCGCTCCTTGATGTGCTCAGGTGTCTCCGGGTCCTGAAGCTCTTGAGTGCGCCAATCGAGCTCCTCGGCAGCTGTGGCGAGGGGCGTCTGGCCGTTGTTCTCCCGTCTGTCGATCTGGTCAGCGGGCAGCTTGCGGCAGAGGTAGTCGGCCACGTAGGGAGAGCCATACTCTGCCGCGTAGTGCATTGGCGTCTCCCCAAAGCCGGCATCGACTGCCGTCATGTCGGCGCCGTTCGCCGCTATGAGGTCCAGGTAGCTGTCGATGAAGGACTGGGGGTAGAGCGCATTTGAGTTGATGGCTGCCTGGTGCACCAGATTGTCGCCGTTGGACCGTTCTTCGGTGGCGAGGGTGGGGTCTCGTGTGATGAGTTGCCGATACATCGACAGCAGCAGCTCCAGATACTCGTTGGGAGGCGGACGCAGGGGATGGGGCAGCGCCATCACCATCCATTCGTCTGCTGCGCGCAGGTCGATGTCTTGACGAGCCATCAGTATGTCGAAGGCCGTCTGGTTGCCATATGCAATCGCCACTTGGTGTTTCGTGCCTATTCTCTCCAAGTCGTCGGCTGCCGCATTGGGGTCGGCTCTTCCGTCTAGGATTGCGGTGAGGATCGCCGCCTGCAGCTCATCAGACGACCACTGTGGCAGTGCGACGGGACGGAGGACAGCATGACTGTCTTCTGCTTCGATGGTCGGGACGGTGTAGTCTGACTTGTTGTCGATGGCGATGGCGAGGAGCGAGTAGCCGTAGACGACACGACTGCTGTCCCTGCCCACCAGCCCAGTCATGACATCTGGGTCGGCGCCGTGCTGTCGGATGAGGTCGGTCACTTGCCGTGCGTCGGTGAAGCGGCGGCCGATGATCCACCGTGACAGCTCCCTGGTGGCGTCGCTGGTGCCCTCGGGGAATCGAGCCTCCAGCTCATCGAGTCCGATGTGGCCATCAGGCACAGGGACAGTGGGATCCGCCAGGTCCACGAGAGGACAACCTGCCACACACACAGCCACACACAACGGACGGTGCGTGGGATCTTCTCTCGCGTCTGTCTGGCGTACCTTCCTCCTCATATTCCCAGTCGTCGTCCGAGTCTCTGTCATCGATATCGTCATCTTGGTCGTCGTCACCATCCTCCTCCTGCATGCCATCCTGACACACAACAAAGAGGGGCGGAAAGCGACGTTTGTGCCTCCATCGCATGGACCAGTGTTGGTGTTTATGAGTGCCTCACCGATTCGTCTCCATCTGGTACCTGCGGACCCTCCTCACCATCGGCCATCTCATCGGCCATCCCGTCCTCCTGCTGCTGCTGGTCGCCTGAACACCAACACACACACCTGTCATGAGGGTGCTGCTGGTGTGTGTGCGTCGAATGGTCTGTGTGACAGGTCTGATCACTTACCGCTGTCTGCGTCATTGCGATCTGAGCCCTCCGCCTGTCCAGTGCCGCTATGCTCCTCCTCATCTACATCGCCTGCACACACCATCGAAGGCACACACACACACACACACACACGCAATGGCGAGGAGTGTGTGTGATGTGTTGTTGTAGGGTGTGTGGTGTACCTCCGTACCTTCGTCGTCACCGTCCGCCATGGCAGCGGAGGCCATGTGGCTGTCGTGACACTCAGACATCACTCCAGCACACACCAACGGCTGCATCAACCACACACACACACAGAGGCGACATGAGATGGACTGCTCGCCCACCTATTATGAATTAAATGGAATACAACGACGCTCAAACAGTCCGCCCCGTCACCGAGGCAGACCTGCACAACACGATACCAGCACAAGGTGGCAAGCCACATCGTGGCGTCATGAGCCAATCGCATGAGCGCCGCGACGATTTAATTCCCCACAGAAGGCCGAGAGGGCCGGAGAGGCCAGTCCAATGAGAAACGTCAAGAGTGATAGCCAAACAGATGGCTGGAGGGATGGACGTGACGTCAGTGAGTCCTTCACCCCCTCCTCCTCTCCCCTCCCTATGTGCGAGCTGGTCAAGATCGCCGCCGAGAAAACAGGCCATGACAGCCGCCCTTTGAAGAGATCAAGAGCAAACAGTGCACCTGGAGGCATCCTGGAGCAAGAAAAGCTGAAAGCGACGGCGAAAACGGGACAAAGGCAGACAGCAACCACGCGTCATGGTGGCCAATGGCGGCTGCTGCACGTGTTCTAATTAACGAATCTCGCTGGTAGGCATCACATGAAAGACAAGAGTGCACGCCGAGAGTGGATGCGCACGTCTGTGCTCTTTTCGTTCACAGTGTTTGAGAGTAGCCATGGCAGCAGCAACAGCAGCTTCATCTTCATCTTCATCTGCTGCTTCGCCTCAGGCAGAGGTGAGTGAAGGCACAGCACACGAATGATTCATCCATTCAGCGGCAGAAGTGAATGAAGGCACAATACACACAGGCATGATGTGCCATCACACTCAGTCATTCACTCATCTATTCATCAAAAAAAAAAGCATTCGTTCGTTCGTTTGTCTGTTTGTTTGTCTGTCTGTCTGTCTGTCTGTCTGTTTGTCTGTTTGTTTGTTTGTTCCACCAGGTGATGCCACACTCTGCAAGTAGTCGTTACCGGGAGGGCACTCGTGTGCTGCTGACGTCGGGCACCAGAAGGGGTGCCAATGAGAGCTATGTGTGGCTCAAGGCCGACGTCCATCGCACCGAGGAGACCAGCAAAGGGAGCATGTTGTACATGAGGGAGGTCGGCGGCCGGGAGGAGTTCAAGCAGGTGGTGCCGTACACGACCAACGCGCCCATAAACACCAACCCACAGCCACCCGGGGTAGGCAAACACACCTCAGCAGGAAGCCCGCGGACCCACCCTTTGATGTGTGTCTTTGGTGCGTGTGTGTGTTGGTTGTTTGTGTGGAGGTTTGGGATGTTAGCACGAAGGTACACATAGCCACACACAACACACACATAGTTCACAACCCACTCTCATTCTGCCTCCTTTCTCTCTGTTGGTCGTGGGTCTGTTCCAGGCCCCTGACCGTCTTGGCGACGGCCCCGACGGACCTCTGCCGACACTGTTCAGCTTCCTGACGCCTTGCGAAGTGTCGGCCATCTTCGCGCCCCCTCGACCCACAGCCCTGCTCTTTGATCCCGACGCCTTCTTTTTCCGCATCACGACGGCGGCGTCCAATGAGGACACGGCCGCCAATGGGTCGCTGCCGGCTGCGCCGTCGGTATCCTTTCTGTCTGTCGGATCATCCCTGTCGAGCACATCACTAGGAGAGGGGAGCCTGTCGAGTGCTGCTGCGTCATCAGACGGCGCCGCCTCATCGCTGCTCACATTTGCCGCAGCCATACCCGTACCCAAACCACCGACTCGCGTCTCATTCAATGCCCCAAGCGCCGCCCCTTCGCCTCTCTCGACCACCACCGCCCCCACCCCCACAGCCCCGGTAGACCGGTCCCGGGACAGCTCCCAGACACAGAGTGCCAATCTCGTGGCGCCTGCGAAAGGAGCATGCACAGCACAGCCGACAACCACACCCGCCAGCGGCCCACTCGGCAGCGGCAACGCACCCACAGGGGAAGGAGGTGATCCTTTTGGTGCTGGGGCAGCGTCGGGTGGTGGCTCTCCTCTCGGTGGAGTCGGATCGACGGGCAGCCCGTTCAGTGGCACCGGCATTGGCATTGGCAGAGGGATAGATAGCAAGTTCGGCGGCCGCATCTTTGGAGGCACTGGTGCGTGATATCAGGGGGTAACACACACATGGATGGATGGAGGATGGATGGATGGATGGGTCAAACGCATCCTGACTGCCTGTGTGTGGGCCGCTCAGGTGTGGCGGCGTCGTCTCAATTCAGTAGGGAGTCATTGTCAACTAGCGACAGCCCGTTTGGCGAGGCGGCCTTCGCGCAGCAATCATCCGGTGGTGCCGCACCGAGCAGCCCCTCCGCCATCCGCACGGCCGCCCTTCAACAGCAGACACACATCACGATAGACAACTCGACCGATGCAGAGGACCAGTTTTGGGACAGCATGACGCCTGAGGAGGCATTCCAGCTCGGCAAGCGTCTGGTCAACCTGACAGCAATCACCCTGGTGCAGCCAGAGCGGGACGAGTTGTGGTGTCTCGACAGCATGATCAGCATCGTGGAGGGCCATGCGGGCGGGCGCCGGGAGGCGCGAGAGAAGGAGGGGCAGCAGCACATGGCTGAGGGCAGTCTGGAGAGCATCGAATTCATCATCATCCCCATCGACTACCGCCACATATACGACTGCTACGTGCGCCACGGCAGTATACCGAGGGCAAGGCCTTCTGGACGCCGGTGGCGTAGTCCAAGGCGTCCAAAGATTCATCTTCGCCGCCCCTGCCCGCCTCCCTCGTCTCCTCAAATTGAGCCCCTGACGCTTCCGGCACTCAGGACGATCACAGGTGCCGTCCAACAGCACAGTGTGCTGGCCGACACGGGATGGAAGATGCCCGCACTCGAGCGTGTGTTGATCTCGGGGTGGGATGGTGCCGAGCTCGGCCGGTTCATCAGCACGTCAGTGTCGCTACAGGAGGTGGGCGGGAGCCTGCCGGGCAGGCGGTGGGCCCAGTGGGCCACTGTGTTTGAGCACGTGCCGATGGCGCCTCCTGAGCAGCCAGGGCCGCTGAGAAAGCTGCATTCCATCGGAGTGATTCACCATGACTACTGGGGGTCCGCAATAGGCCTCCAGTGGTACCAGGAGGGAATGACGCGACTCGAGGTGGGTAAATCATCACGCAGGAGAGGCCTCATCCGGGCGCATGTCAGATGGTGGTCTTGTCTCTTTCCTTGTAGGCTGCACTCACGTCCCGTGGCTATCGCAAGACGCTCAAGAGCCTCAACCTGGAGATCCCACCATCTGTCGACCACAGCACCCTCCCCACCCTCCTCACTGTCGACAGCCTGGTCGACAAATGCTGCGTGCCGCATGAGGTCGACATCACCGTGCTGCCGGCGAGTGAGACCATGAGACCTTGGGAAAGGCTCTCTGGCTACTTCGAGCTGTCCGTCTTCCATGCCGACAACTTGAGCCGTTCCCTCTCCCCCTTCATCAAGAAGGCCATGCAGGAGGCGGCACGGGGGGCGAGCAAAGTGAAGTACACCATCAGCCAGCATGAGATCACCCACCCCGGCGACAGCCCCAGTCAGGCGGCCGTTGAGATCGCAGAGACCCTCACATTCGACAAGGCACGTTTTGTGACGGTCGCCAACGCCGATGGCTTCGCTCCCCCACCCGGCACCCCCGCCCCCACACCCACTATCATCGACCACCTGCAGCCATTCCCAGCGGCCAAGGCGCTGGAGGTCCGCAGCGCTCTGGGCGGGGCTGCGGGGAGCCTGCTGGCGGAGAAGATGCCCAGGGAGGTGAACGAGGTGGTCTTCGGCTCGGCTGTCGGGGCAGAGGACAAGAACGGCATGCTTGAGGCGCTGGGGAGTGAAAGGGAGGTGCACATGGTCTATGTCGGTCCAGCGGGAGTGGGCTACACTGATGGCTGGAGGGGGTGGGAGAGCCTCCCAGTGATGCACCAGATAGACATCCACTTTGCAGGTATGCATTTAGTCCGATAACTGGTGTGCCGGCTCACCTCATTTGTGCATTGCTGCATTGTCTGTGTCGATTTCCGTCAGTGTCTGACGGTATGGGGACTCGTGACGCTGCCAAGCGCATCTGCGACGGCGTCTCGTCTATTGTGAGCAGCGTGCGGGGCCTCGAGCGTGTGATAGTGTCGGCCAGCCGCAGGTCGATCCGCAACGCCATTCTGAAGCTGCTTCCCGACAGCTCGAGCAGCACCTTCACCATCTACGTAGGCGTCGGCACTAATGCGGTACGGAGAGGGACAGGCTGGGGCAGGTGAGTGCCTTGCATTGCGCGCTGGGTGTCCAGTGTGTGCGTGTGTATGTGTGTGTCGTCAGGTATCCGAGCCGCCCAAGGCGACAAGGCACCACCAGGCCGTAGCAGAGCTGCCGACTGACTGAGCGTCCCACACGTGTGTAGCAAGCCGCTCATTCTCTTGCAATTGGTACATGGATGGATGTACATATGGCTGGGTGAGGGGGGCAGACAGACAGACGGACAGACAGACAGAGACAACCGACTCATTGCGATTGAGCGTAACGCTGGCGCGCCCATTCTTGCTTCACCTTCTACAGCACATCTGCTGTGAGCGGTGCGGACTGCCACCGTCCACAGGAGATCTGCTGACGAACGGCTGGCAGAGATGAGGCACCCACTGCCCGCCGACAGACACCTTCCATACCATTAACGCACTCCCTTCATAACACGACGTCCATGCTCTCTTCCCCCACCCCACCCCTCCCCTCGTCGTCGGGCCCCAGCAGCCGCGCCATCCCACGCTCCACAGTCACCTCCTTCAGCTCGGATACTATGCCATCCCCGTTACTCGAGGGAGGCGGGTCGCCATCGGGCGCAGTGGCGCGGGCAATTTCCTTGGCTAAACCGGAGGGCACAGGCAGGAATGGGTGCGTCAATGAGGGAGGGATGGTCGCATCAGTGTCTGTCCGTTGCGTGGACGTACCTGCCTGACACAGCTCGAGCATCCACAGCGTCTCGGCGTTGGGGTCAGACAGGATGCCTGCAGACATGACAGGGAGGTGAAAAGATGATGGTGACTGTAAGCTCAATTGAGAACTCCCTGCGCTGACCGATCTCCTGTATGTTCATCTCCCTCTCCCCGTCGTTCTTCCAGTTCCGCCTCAGCCGCCCTCGCACCGACACAAACTTCCCCAGCAGCTGAAACGGAACACACAGAACAGTGCCACACTCACGAAAGCCTTCAACGTGCACATCGCCCCAATCCCTCCCCCATTACCTTTTGTCGAACGGTACCACCGCACTCAATCAGGTCCCTCGCTCCTTCGGAGACTGGAGGCGGGTTATGCCAAAGCATGCAGCCCACGATGCCCGTCCCGTCGTCAACTGACGCGACACACAAACTGCTCTCTCCCTCCTTGGCCGTGTGTGCGTGGTGAGGTGAACGGGTGCATTGCATACTCCTGACGAGGAGGAATGAGCTCTTGGGCCGCGCCTCCACGACGACGCCCTGCACGTGCGCACTCGTGATCCGCAAGGCCCTGCCGTGGGTCTCCTTCTGCGTCGACAGCCGCCCATACTCGAGGATCTCCGACTTGTCGCTGCCTGACATGACAACCAACAACATGCACAAGGAGGAGATCTATGGTGTTGCGCACCTCGTTGCCACTCACCTGAACCGGTAGGTCCGTTGGCAGGCTTCTCGAGGCACAGCCGCAGCGAGATGGGCAGCTTGCAGTAGCCGGGCCAGTCAACCGGTGGATGTGCTGTTACTACGCCTCGCCTGCTGCCCGAAGAGGCCTTGCTGCGCCGATGCATCCCCTTGGCGTCACCTACTTTCGATTGAGCGCGCAACTCAAAAATTGACGGCAATCGTGGGGCTCAAGTCAAGACGATGCGCGATGCTTGCTTTGTGCGAAGGCCGATTCAATCACTGTGTCGCCACACACAAAGCCATTTGCAGACGTACGTATATGATTGCATGATCCAAAACCGTGCCGGGCCACACACGGCACGCATTGGTGGACGCGAAAAATATATATACACACCGAGAGAACGCCATGGTCGCTCCAATGCACCACCCGCCATGCTGTACACCAACACATACAGCGAGAAAGCGTGGGAACGGCATTTCAGTCTGAGCCCTTCCTTCTTTCCAGGACATGCACATATAATGCAGTGCATCCGCCATCGATATCCCATGTGGGATAAATCGAGACTGTTTCTACATATAGACACCGACAGACCGCCGAAAAACGAGTGAGTCAGATGGATGTATGGATGTATGTGTGCACCATCTCTAGTCTTGTGTGCACGATGACCCACACCTCAGCGCACCACGGACACTTCTCCAGAACACACGCATCCTTGCCTGTCGGCCTCCTCTGCCTCCCTCAAAAGCTGTCACGGGCTGCTCGAGGTCATCATCGAGGCGACGGCACTCGCCAGCAGACGGCTGCACACACGCACACACACACACACACACACACAGAGAGAGAGAGAGACGGGGAGGCGAAGAGACGAATTCATTCGTTCATTCCTCCTTGCTAACCTGCAGTGTGTAGATCTCCAAATCGGCGAGGGTGAAGCGAATGTCGGAGGCCAGGCTGGCGCGACTCTGGTTGTCGATGGTTCCGATGTAATTCTTGCCGGCCGGCAGGCAGTCCTTCAGCAGCCACTGAGCGCACCGGCGAAGGTCGGCAGCGGCAAATCCCAGCCACAGGCGGCCGGGCGCCTTATGGATCATCTCACCGATGCACACCTTGCCGGCCGGCTCACACATGACGTTCTTGACCGCCCCACGTGTGCCCGCTACCCAGACAGACTGCTCGTCATTCAGCGGCTCGATCTTGGTGATGCCGTCGCCCTCAAACGCACAAGACACCGAAAACAGCGACACGGCACAGGAGCTCTTCGCCACTCGAGTGGGGTTGGGGGGTGGGGTGAGCCCGCCCTCGATGTGGCAGGCGATGATGGGACCGCTGAGGTCTTTGAGCAGCAGCAGGAGGTCGGTGGCGACGCCAACATTCTTGAGCATGGCGTCGTGCTCCCACCCGTCACGCTCAGCCCTGACAGGCAGATACACACGGAAGAGTCACAAACAGTCTCCCTGTTTTCGGTTACTCACTTGTAGAGGAGCTGTGGTGTCGCGTGTGTCATGCCGGTCGCGTCGACGAGTGCCCGCAGGCCCGCCGCAGACAGGATGGGGTCGGGCGGCACAGCGCTCCACACCTGCACAGCACCATACAGGACAGAGAGAGAAGAAGGATGTCATGATACCCACAGGCCCGCCCTTGTGTGCTCTCTGGTTGACCTCTGACTGACCTGGAAGACCTCCAACCGCTCGGCTGTGAAGTAGTAGTCTTCAGCGCCACAGAGGCTGGCGTCCTCGCTGGTGATGGTCTTGGCCAGAAACTTCCTGTCGGCCGGCAGCTCCTCCTTCTCCACCCACTGTCGGCACCTGTGAAGGTCAGCAGTCGAGCCACGCAGTTCACGACCCATCCACAAGCGGCCGCCAGCGATGGAAAGCATGCCGAGCGGCGTCCAACCAAACAGGGCCTTCAGCGCCCTGTGTGTGCCCGCAACCACCACATACTGCTCGGCCTGGGGCAGCTCGATCTTGGTGATGCCCTCCTCGAACGCACCCGAAACCGAAAACAGCGACACGGGGCACCAAAAGTGCAACTCGGGTGTGGGGTCGGACGGCAGGTATAGCTGTGCGTCGACGAAGGCTGCGATGGTGTTGGTCTCGTCGCACTTGATGACGAACAGGAGACCGCTGCGGCCCGTCACACGCTGCATCAGACTCTCATACAAATGACCGTGGAGCGCACTCCTGACAGACACACACAGTCATGCGACGATCGCGTAGAGCATAACACGCTGCCCTCCCTGCTTTGCCATTTCTCACTTGTAGAGGCAGGTTCTGTTCGGTTCTTTCTTCCCCGTCATGCCGAGGAGCATCTGCACGGCGTCGTTGGCGAGTATGTTGGGGTACATGGCCTCCAGCACGCCGTACATGTCACTCACACGCAGCAGCTCGTCCTCGTCGGCACACGTCGGCGGCGGGACGACGGCCCCATCGGGGGACAGGCGGCAGCGACGAGCGAAGTCAACGATACTGGACACAGAAACACACAGGTGCTCTGTGTTGCTGTTAGTTTTCGGTGGTTGTCCGGGTGCTCACAGGTCGATGTGGTGTGCAGACACATCGACGATGGGAGCACCGCCATACCTGCATCAGAAACAGAGAGGGGACGAGAGAAGCCGATGAGACGACGGCACATCCCTATTTCCTCCCTCCTGTGTGCCTCCCTACTCACTTGGTGAATCTGTCGTTGAGTGTGTCGAAGTCGGCCAGCGTGGCGTCGGTGGTCGCCACTGTGCGGCCGTCGACAGTCACACTGAGCACCTCCTTCCCGCCGCTGCCGCCCTTTATGGACGACTTGATGAAGGCGCCCATCATGGCCATGAATCTCTTGAGCATCGCCCCGGGCTGTCCGTCGATGTCGATGGGCGACGTGGCGAAGAGAATGTCGTGGTAGAAGGTGATGTGCGGCCCCTCGTCGAAGATCTCGATCTCGTCCACCCACCCATGCTTCAAACGGGTCAGCTTCTCAGCCAACCTGACACACAAACACAGACAGACAGACATACAACAGTGAAGCAACGAGTGAGTGAATGAGTGTCATTGACTGCATGCGTCCCTCACCAAATGAAGTAGAGGGGATCTGCGTCGATGAAGATCGTCCCGTCGGCGTCCTTGTGCATCCAGTCACCGAACCGATGAAGCAGCACCGCCAGGCAGGTGTCCTGCAGCCCATCGCGCAGCAGCACCGCACTCGGGAAGGCCATGACGTACCCGCTGACATTGAGCTGCATCACGCCGCCACTCGTGGTGTCTGCCGTGTGGTTGCTGCTTGTCGATGAGGACGCCTGCATGTGACTGGGAGCGCCGGGCAGACAATCACGATATGGTGTGTGTGCGTGTGTTTCCGAATCCCCATCAAATCGCCAGTGGTGTATCGTATTCTGGCACAGCTAGATTGCTTCGTGTTCTGGTCGTGCTGGCACAGCTGGGGATGCGATTCCTCTGTGAAACAAAAGTCCTACTTCTGGTTTGCAGTGTCGACGCGTGTGTGGTTACCGAGACAGTCAGAGTGTGACAGTCAGAAGTGTGTGTTTGGATGAATGACGTACACAGGTGTACCAGACGTCGGCCGACTGGGTGATGTACAGACAGCTGCATGCTGGTATGTGTGTAGAATAGAAGCAAGTCAGTCAGTGTGGCAGCGCAGCAAGAGAGCGCAGCGCAAAGATGTGTAATCCAGCAAGATAGCAAGCATAGCAAGTGACCCTCACCCACAACGCATAGGTACCGGTACATACACACACCTCACAGCATGAGCGCAGGCAGCCGTCTATCGTTCCCATGTGAGTTCCGCCGGTCTGCATACACACACATCCGTGCGTACATGAGCACGCCGCCTTGCCGCCTGCACCCACCTTCCTTGAGGTCCAAAACTTGGGAGAGAAGCCGCTGTCGATACTCATCGAAGTTCACCCTGCCCAACACCACACCTAGGTGACATACAGGGCAACCGACGGACAACCAGTGACGAGACAATCCCGCTTTATATCTTGTACCGATGGATGACTTGATCTCGTGCACCGCTTCCTTGTCTTTGACCTCTTTCCCCAGCTCAAGGGCCCTGCACCACACACCATCATAAAACCCCCATGAGCAGAAATGTGTCTGAGGAGCCCTCTCTTTTTTACCTGTGGAAGTGATCAGCAGCGGATTCCAGCTTCCCCTCCTGACACAGCACCCTCCCCAGCTGAGTGTGAGCCGCCACTGGATGAATGAACACGAAATGAATGGAAGACACAGCCGTCAAAGAGACATTATCGATCCTCCCGCTACTTACTTTGCGTCTGATGTTTTGGGTTGGGAGGTGCGACGGTTGGTGGGGGGGAGAGGGTCCTGATCGGCCTGTAGGGCATGAGAGCCGTCACGAGTGGCTGCTGGGGGGCACCGGTGCTCTTGAGGTGATACTGGAGACACACACGGGACGTGTTGTAGTCACTGCATGAGAAAGGAAGAACAGGGGAAGAGCATGCGCTGGCTGGCTGGCTGGCTGGTTGTTTTCTTTGTTGTTTGCACTGGCCAGTCCAGTCCACCTACCCTTGTGTGAATGAGGAAAGGCCAAGGTTGCCCACAGCCACAGCCTGCGCAGTCTTGCTCTGCAGCCTGTGCGCATACTCTATCGCATGCTGGTGGTGGATGGCCGCGTGCTCAGCAAGACCTGATGAGCACGCCCACATCCATGCCCGAGGAGCGGGTGGGTGAGACATGGGTGTGTCTGTCCATCTGTCTGTCTGACCCCTGTACCCATGTTCTGGAAGACGATGCCCAGGTTTGAGTGGGCGATGAACTTGCCGGGGTCGTCTGCAAGCTGCAGGTGCTTGTTATAGTGCGTTATGGCGTTGTCGTAGTCACCCATGCGATAGTAGCAAATGCCCAGGCTGCGTGTGTGGCAACATAAGCCAACAATGACACGCATCGCATCTCCCCCGTGCGCCTTTTCTGCCCACCAGTTCTGCCCACCAGTTGTGTGCAAGCGCCTGAGCCTGTTTGTCCCCCTCAGCAGTGGCCACATTGAGGAAGTCGGTATAGCTGTTGATGGCCTGGTCGTAGCTGCCCTCATTGTCGAGGACCACTCCCATCTTGTAATACGCCTGCCCTGCCGCCTCCAGCCTTCCCCCCCTGAGACACACACAAATCCATCAAAACCGCATCACTTCTGCCTAGTTCGCACCTCTTGGCTGTCTCTGCGAGCATCTTCAGGTCAGCCAGCTGATTCCTGGCGCTGCGGAGACCGCCATGGAAACGATCCTGCGCCCTCCTGACAGCCACAGCAAACATGAATATGCTTCGTCTCGTTCCTCTTTCTCCCGTCGCAGTACTTTCTTATCCTCCTGATGTACGGCGTCTGTCCATCTGGTGACTTTGGTGGCGACACTGACTTGGTGGCAGCTCTCGGCCCCTCCACCCTCTTCTCCAGCTCAGACCGTCTGAAGGGGTTGTTGTAGTTCCACGGTGTCTGCGCCCGCTGGGGCTCATTCACCTGCATCAACCAAACAAAGCAAACACATCATGAAACCATTACCAGAGGCCGCAAGCACGAACCATAGGGTGCACAGCGGCATCGAGCGCCCTGAAGTCCCTCGAGCCGGTCTCAAGCTTGCCCAGGAAGCCAGAGCGGGCATCTTCCAGCAGGGCCAACGGGTGCGCCTGGCTGTGGAGGGCCCTGGTCTTTCGGGAGGCGAGGGGAGGTGCTTGTGGGGGTCTGCGGGAGGGGGAGAGGGAGGGGAGCGATGAGTGCCTGTTGACGGAGGCGGCGGCTGCTTGCGGAGGGGATGAGAAGAGGGGATCAGATTGCGTTTGGATGGAGGAAAGAGTCGCCATCTCGTGCCCTTATTCCAAACCAAAGACGAACACACGTGTCCACACCTTCCGCCATCCACACCGGCGCAGCATCCTTGCGAGCTCATTGGCAAGTTTCAACGGTCAACAAACGGTTCGCAGTCAAAAGCTGCCTCGTCCGCTCTTGTGGGTCACCCACTTTTCCCTTTCAGCGAATCTCCCGTTCGGCTGTTCTTCGAGAACGTGTGTGACGGTGTTCTATGGGTTGTACGAACGGCTGCACGTGCGGCGGCGGTCCTGGCTGCCTTCCGTTGAGCCCCAAAGGGCCACATGCAGGCGTATACGTAAGTCAACGTTGGTCAGCTGCCAGCCGGTCAAGGGGAAGGGTCTCTCTCTCTCTCTCTCTGTGTGTGTGTGTGTGTGTGTGTGTGTGTGTGCATCCGATGCAGATCTATGACCACCCCTGCTGTGATACGTGGCTGGGAGGTGCAATGGGCACCAACCCCAAATGCTGCTGCCATGACAGGTATACAAGAGAATTTTCCCCGACAGAGACGCCGAGAGTTTGACGGCCTACGACTTGGGTGTGTGTTCTTTCATTCTCCTCTTTGTGTCCAGGTTCCACGTCCACCGTTGCTGCTACCGAGCATATCGCGTGAGGCATCCCTCCTGGGGACCGGTGGGGCAACGATTCGAGAAGGAACTCCTACCAGAAGCCAATAAAGTGGTCGACGGCGTGGAAACGGTGTGCGACTGCGGGGGGCCAGGGTGCCCAGACGTCCACACGGCCAAATACGAGCTGGACAGAGAATGGCTGCCCCAGGCCAACGAGCTGCTGCAAAAACATGGCTTCTATGCCGGTGAGGAAACGTCATGAAGGAATGTCTCAGGCTGTAGATGTGTACCTTGTCTCTCTGATCGATCCATCAGACACGCACGCATGGATGACCCACGACGGCAAGAAACCGTACTATTTCCTGATGATCCGCATCTTTTTGGACGAGTCGAAACCCAACCCCATCACTCAGTCGTGAGACACGTACGTCAATTGCATGAGAAGGGTTTTTGAGCAGTGTTCGTGGATCACCTGAATATGAACATGACAAGAATGACTGTCTGCTGTCTGCTGACCGAATCTCTATTCTCTCTTCCTGTTGTGTTCCACCACGCGAACGGCAGCATAGCTCATAACACCCCACGCAACCACATCAGTGTCAGCCACACAGTGCAGCTGAATTGCCAACTCGCTGGCCGACGAGCTATTGCCATGGTCAGCACACCAAGAGAAGTCCAAAAGGCGAGGAAACACACAGATGAAGCCATCAAGCGCAGGAGAACGGATGACAGAAAACAAGACCGTGAAGACAGCAAAGAACTTCAGAAGAGGCCACACGATTACCTCACTGATGGACTCGATAATGCACGCATTTACGAAGTCACGATGATCATTCTCCATGGAGAAGACAAACAAAACAAGATAGTACAAACAGAGAGAGCAGAAGGTCGCGGCCAAAACGTATCCCGCCATGTCTCTGCGCCGCCACACGGCGAGTTTTCTGAGCTTGGCTTCAAAGGGGAACATACCTGCATGCCAACCGATGACGTCACTCACGGCCGTGCTGCGGCGATTACTGCTCCCAGAGCTAAGTACACTCCCGCGCCCGGCGCTCTGATATGTGCTCCTACTAGCTGCGCTGGCCTGTTGCCACCCAAATGCATAGCCCGCCATATCTTGGAGAGTGGCGAGGAGGGAGCTGCGGCGCCCTGTTGCTGTCGTGGATGCTTCCTCACTCGCCTGGTGGTCCTTGCTGCTGTCTTGCTCTCTCGCGGGCTGCGTTGTCGGTTTTACTGTGGGAATCCCCTTCTTGAACAGATGGTGGAGCACATAGGGGATGGGCATCGAGAGCAGAAGGACGGAAGGAAGGACGACAAGAGAACGGGCCAGAAGACGCCATGTTGCACCCCCGGGCAGATGAAGTGTTATAAGTTCCTCGCGCTCCAGCGATTTGCCATGACCTTCGCAGCTGTCTGTCCGAAAAAAGAGCGCTGCAGCGGTTAGAGTGCCGAGGTAGTGCGACGAGAAGATGAGGCATCTTTGCACGGAGGTGTGCACGGGAGAAACGATGAAGAGCCGAAATACTGGGTGATCGCGCTTGAGCACCTCGCGGAGCAGCTTCCAGCCCGACCATTCGACATACTGGAGCCGTCTTACAGTGCGGTTGACAATCAGGTCGATCTCATGGGCAATCGCGGCAGGGAACTCGCTTGAAGGCAGAAGGGGGAGCTGAGACATGGCCGCCGATGCAGAGTGGGCCGGTGTGTGCGGTTCCCTTTCCGTTTTCGAGAAGCTCTTCCGTGCGGGCAGTGGCTCGCCTTTCTCTGGTTGCATCTCGTGGGACACGGAGGACAGGTCCACACCACTTGTAGGTCGAAGTGATTCGACGAGGGAGAACCGATGTGGGCCGCTGGATGGGTCGCCAGCGACGGGGCGAAGAGCGTCATCCGACTGCTCCCCACGAGACACCTGCCCTGACGAGAAAACACGCATCACCCTCATTCCTCCTTCTTGTTGCTATCAATAGAAGCTTACTCGGGCGTTTCGATTGGCTTTGCTCGAAAGGAGTGGGTTGAGTCGTCTCTCCCTCCACAGAGTCATCCGTCATGTTTGCGTCAGAGTTCTTTGACTTGTGCAGCCCGCCGCCGCTCCCCGACTTGAAAGGATTTAAAGCCATTAAGCCTCGCCAACCATCGTGACCCCGTCCACGCTCAATCGAGATTCTTCGTTCAAAGAGGCTGGTAATGCTCGAAATCAGTTCAGGGAAACTTGTTCGCTTCTCTGATTCCCTTCTCGAAGGCTTGCTGGTGGGGGACTGGGGCTGAGGAGCTAGAGAAGGCTGTACTATCGCCAGCGTTCTCCTGGGCCGATGGGCGACAGGGACTGCAGGAGGAGCTCGGCGACACCGGACGGTGCGACGCCAACAACGTTGAATAATAAAAGCGGCGGCTTGCTGTCTTCTCAGCTCGTCTTTGACCTGTGTCTCCAGTGCCTTTCGAAGTACGCCAGTTGAGACGAGATTGACAAAGGCCCTGCCCCCACAGCACCCTCGTTGGATGGTTGCAGTTGAAGCCGAGGGGTTAAGCGTGAGGTGCTCTTGTGTTGGCAGGACAGTAACTCGTGACCTGTCGTAGACGTAGTTGGCTCTCACGCGCTTGCTTTCCGCCTCTTCCATGTCATCCACGCTGCTGACGATGGAATAGCGCTGCAACGGCTCCACAATGCTGACATTTCGAAGTTTGTCCAGAGATTGACGAATGCCCAGTCGTATGCGCGCAGGAAGAGTCCCAGTCATATGCTGAGCTGCCGTTTCTTCGCTTTCAGAGTCCTCTTCGCTCGTATTTCCTGCCTGTCCGTCAATGAAGAGGTCACTCAGCGATCGAGGCGGAAGAGACCGGTCGGACCTTGCCGTCAATGGCTCTGGCAGGGGTGGAAGGCGATGCCGTCCAGACAGCCGCCGCTTCCTTTTCTTTTCCCCTTCTTCATCAGTCCACGGGCCGTCTGTATTGTCAGTTTCCAGGTCTCGCGTCTCTTCGGGCCTTGCTGATGGTGCGATCGAGCTGAGACAGGACGAACGGGCATTGCTCTGCATGTCGATCATCCCCATGCCCGTCCGGGTTGTCGCCTCTGACATGGGCGTCACTGCAGGCCGATTTTCTCGTTCGTCCGTGAGGCCCTCGAAGCGGTTTCTCGACACGCTGGGGCTCGTGATGCGCACGCTCTTCCGTTTGCGGGGCCTTTTTGGTCGCCGTTTGTCTCTCTTCTCGCTGTTATCTTCTGTCCTCGGGTATTGTGTGTCCGCTGTCTCAGGTCCACCAGCAGTCAGAATGCTGGCGCGTCGATGTGGGCCACACTCGTTGCGAATGTACTCTTGGAAGGTGCTGTAAAGCTTGTAAGGACGGGACGGCAGTTCGCACAATGTCGACAGCCGGCGACTGGCGGCGGGGAAAGAATGAGGACCTGAAGAGGGACCATGAGTGTGCAATAATGCCTTTGTGTCAGAGTGTCTCACACCTCGTTCCTATTCTTCTCAGGTCCTCTCCTCCGGCTTTTCTTTCTGGCAAGTCGATAGCCCGCATGTCGATTCCAAGATCCACACCACGGGCCAGCTGATGACGGACACGCCGTATCACTCGAAGTTCGAGCAGATGCAAGGTGGGCTTTCGGTGGATGCACCGATGGCAGAACCGGCACGGCGGCAGGTCTACGATCCACTTGCTCAGCCAGCGAGGCCGACTCACATCACGGAACATCTAACAAGTCAGAAACAGCAAGTGATGAGTCGTAATGTTGTTTCTGTCACCCACTCTCTGTCTGTTCTTCGCGTCGAGGAGAGGGTCAGTGAGCCATATGTCGAGGAGGTCAGCGTCGGTGATTTTGTGTCTCGAGTCGAAGCGTGCAGCGCACAGCAGGCAGGTGAGAAGGATAGAGACCACCAGCCATAGGAAGTGATTTTCCGTATTGCGCGCCCACGATTGCTCTGAAAGGAAACCACGTGGTCGCGAGGTCAGCACTTGTTGTGCGCTGTTGTCCTTGGCGAGGACTGAGAAGCTCGATAGATGGGTGCAGCTGCACATCACCGATGACGCATTATGAGACACCATGTGACAGCCTAATCGTGAAGGCATAGCCAAGGACACGACTCACATGATAAGTAATGCACTGAGACGAAGCGCTCACCTTGAGTCGACCATGTGAGATTCGTTTCATCCCAGAAGCCACACGTCAGCCGGTTGTCCGCAGTTGCGTTCTTCCGCAATGGAACAGAAAACTCGATCACAGCGTCGTCTACGTAAGCTTTTGTGTTCATGCAAGCTTGGACCTGGAAAAAGCAGATTGACGTGAGTAGAGAACACGTCTCGCACACGCTTTTACCTCCGCTGTCAGTGTCCCACCCACAGGACATAAGACTGGGGATCCATTCATGTGTCTCGATAATGCCAAAGAGCATTCGTGGTCCCTGCGGTATATCCCCTTGTCCCACCAAATGAGGTGAGCGGCCACGTGGCTATCACACAGGCTCTCCGTCTGTAAGCTGCGGATCGACAGCGATGTATTCTGCGGCGTCATAGTCAGAGCCACTTCCTCTGCTGGGAGATCGAGAGACACGCCATCAGCTGCGAGCGATTCCGCAGATACGGCATTGAAGACAAAGCTGCAGCGAGGAGCAGAGGCATTGAATTGCATGCCAATGGACGAGCCTCCCACACTCATAAGCAAATCAGCAAGCTGGCCGGTAGACGATACAAGTAAGCCATAGTGGCCATCGTCCCTTTCCAGGCTTCTTTGAGGTTTTTTCTCGCCAGCTGCTTTCTCGCTCAGAACTCTCGACAGCTCACCCGCGACTGCAATGATGTCTCTCGCTGCGCCTCTGAGTCGCTGAATATTTTTCTCAGTAGCATCAGCACTAATTTCAAACGACAAGTCATCCTCTCCACGATTCGCCACAAGCCACCGGTTGATATTCGCAGGATCGATAGTCCGTGTGAGAGCCATAATGTTCCCGTATGTTAAGAGGAAGGACACAGGGCTGAGAGCTGTGTTGTTCGGCTTCATCTCTGCCGCCTTCGCCTTCCGTATCGTTCGGAGGGTTGCCGTGAGCAAAGCTGTCTCCTGCAGAGTAGAGGGCGATGACTTGTTTGAAGCCAGACGCTGTTGGGCCAACTGCAGGGACAAACAGCGTGTCTCAACATATCTTGCTTATCTTTTTGTACTCTTACTTGGTCAAAGATGCCTGCAACCATCCATAAAAGCTCTTTACGTGGTTTCAGCAAGTGAATCGACTCATTTGATTTCATGCTTTCAGCGGGAAGCGACTGCGGCAATGCATCAGCCTCGATTGCACCTCCGAGAAGGGCACACGCTGAAACTTCCTCGATGTGCCGCTTCAGAGTCAGCTGCCCTTCCGTCGCTGGGGTAGTGGAGAAGAGGATAGATGCTGCATCCAGCAAAGGACGTGTTGTGTTTCGAGTCGGATCCTGAAAAGACGTCAACACAGTCTCTCTGGCAGCGAGATGCATATCATCGCATACCGTCAAGAAAGAAGGATCTTCATCCAGTACAAGACTCGCATCGATCGCCGCTTCTGGGGCAGGAGTAGACGTCGTCGTCACTGGTGGTGCGGCGCTTGTCGTTGAAGGGAGAACTGACGTCTCGCTGGGTGAGGAGCCCGATGAAGCGCTCGTGCTGAGAGGGCTCGAGGAACTACTTGAAGGGCCAGTTGTAGTAGAGGGTGGGCTACTTGTAGTGGCTTGAGTGCTACTTGGGCTACTGATTGGAACAAAAGGGGGACTACTCGGTGTGGTTGATGAGCTACTGGATGCTGTCTCGGACGAATCAACAAACCAAGAAACCAAGAAACAGGTGGTGTTTAGCTTCATGCGCTTGTCCATTGTTCCTGGGTCTTGTACCATATCGCATCGTGATATTGGCCGTCCGATTAGCCACAAAAAGTTCATTGTTGGCAAAGTCCAGGATAGGATGAGACACTTGCGCTCCAATCCGCATGACGAAGCAGGTGCCGAGTGCTGTCGAGTCCTCCAGCCACATGTCAACACGAAGCGCCTTCATTGCCGTAAGTGCCATGGGGCTGGCGGCAGTGACGTCATAGTCGACATCAGTTGGTGTTGTACTGTTTGCTGTGATGCTGATGTAGTCCTTGAGGTCATCTGTCGATCGCACCCATTCGTCGAAGAAGACGTAAAACGAGTGATGCAGACTCGTGAAGACAAGTGCCGTCTCGTCGATGAATGCTCGAGGAGGAGAGACATCTTCACAAGACAATAGTCAGCATTTGCCTGTCACCTGTTCGTACCAGGTCGCTCACCAGCAATCGGACCGCAGGATATCGTCTCCGAGACGGCACTGAAGGGCTCTGAGAAGAGGCAGATTGGTTTTCCAGCTCCTCTGTCTGCCCTTCGTTTTGTGTGTCGATAGCCTACCGTGCTCTTTGGTCAACACAACCGCAGAGTGAAGAAAGCAGCCATTGCCACTCTTGCCCTTATTTAAATCGCTGTGCAGCGTAAAATGCGTGCACGTGGGCGTCTGGTGGCACTGCAGCAGACAATCCGTCGGCGCCATAATCGATGGGAAATGAGCCACAGTAGGTTGTGTGGACCACTCTTCTCGATCGAGGCGGCATCCACGATGAATGACAAGAGGCAAAGAGGGAAGACTTGGATGTCCATCGTACTGCGCACGTGCCAGGCCAAGAAGCGGCATTAGAGTAAACAGCCCCGCGGCTGGTGTCGGATGAATCGTAACGATGGCAGTAAGATTGTCCTGATCCCAGTCGTGGACACTCACGTTGACGGCTGTCGTCCCCAACACCACCAGACGCTCGGGGCGGCCCTCATGCACTGGAGCCGAGAAGCGCACGACAACGTCGAACGGCCCGGGTGAGCCATAATCGTTCACATTCGGCACCGTGAGTGAGACCGCCGGCGCAGGGGCTGCAAGGAACATGATGGACGTTTTTGTCATTTTCGTTCATGTCTACTTACCGCACGAACCCTCCGGTGACGGCTCCACTTCGCAGATGAAAGCCTCAGATTCTTCGCAGACGTGACTGACCAAAGAAAGCCGATCGCTAATATAGCCTCCTTCAGGTTCGAAGTAAACAGCGGCACAGTCATACTCGCTGCTACCCAGCGGATGGTATGGCAACCACTCAGCCTCGTAAACGTTGTTTTGGTGGTACTCCTTTCCATGTGTCCAGCTGCCTGGCGTCGGCACACCCTCGCGGTCTGCAACGCAAAATTCGAAAAAAGACGTGGAGACATGGTTGTTCGTCGTTGCATCTTGGACCTTTCTCGCTCCCTCCGAAGTCAGGAGAGGCGGGTGAAGCAAAGTCGCCATCCTCAGTCTTCGCGAGATGAGATCGCGAAGCAACAACACACAGGGAGGATGAGTGGCGTTGCAGTGAAGACCTGGAGTGAAGATGTGTGAGCTGCTGCTCTTTACCCGCATGTAATCGATGTAGATGAATTCTGGAGACGACAGCTGCCGGCGTATGAATCGATGCAGCCACACAGACTCGGAAGGATCGCTCACTGTCACCTGCACAAGACAGTATGTACTTTATTGACACCCATCCCCATTCTCTCTTCTAGTCCCTTCTCACCAGATGGGCGCGCTGACCAGGCTCCCCATCGTTGTCACACACCGCCTTTGCATCTGCGAAGGACTTGTGTGGGGATGCCTGCAGCCGGTAACAACTGCATGAGTGCTCCCGGTAGGCGTACCCATCCGGACAAAACGTCGCCTGGTCCAGGGGGCTCCACAGCACCGGCGGGCTGTCCGTTGTCGTGCTCGTCTGGCTGCTGGTTGCTTCTGCTACGAACAACACTGAAAGAAGAACGGGGGAAAGAGGCATGCCACAGCATCAAAGAGAGTCGTTCGCCTGTCCTACGTCTTTGCAAAGGAAGAGGCCACGATGCTGTGACTGCAATGACGAGAGAAATGGCACACCGCCAAAGCCGCATTGCAAGGATTTGCTCATGCACCGCCTGCCGACTACTGTAGGCGGTGAGAGGGACCTCCAGTACCCTCTACACGAGAAGCGTACTGTTTTTCTTTGGCCTCGCTGGGAACGTTTCACGCCTACCCCAAAGCCCTGTAGCGCTCACTTCTCTCAACCATCATGTCGGGTGCCGCGCTGTCCGTCCTGACGGTGCTCTGCACGCTGGCTGGCAACTTGGCGAATCCCGTCATTGATCAGGTCGCGCAACTGCACGAACGACACAGGGAAGCAAGATCCGTGTGCATTCGCTCTGCTGGCTGGTTGGTGTGTGCAGGTCGTAGTGTATCGTCGTACGTCAGCCCCGCCAGGATGGAAGCAGGTGTCGCGTGCGCATCCGGCACAGAAAATGAGACTGCTCATCGGTGAGGGAGGAAGGAACGCACCGCAGCAGGCATTCCAGTGCATCTGCATGTCCATCCGTGTGGTGCTGTCATCGAGTTGTAGGTCTAAAGCAGCGCAACCTGGACTGGCTCGTAGAGACCTTCTATGATGTGTCCGACCCTCAGTCACCAAACTACCAGAACTTCCTCTCATCCGATCAGGTACCACGAACGCATACGAGTCCCACCCTGCTGCCGTTCTCACCCCTTCTCTCTGGCCATGTCGTTGTCAGATCCTCGACAAAGTGGCTCCCGAGTACGCCTGATAATGCATACCCAAGGCACCTGGGTTCACTGTCACTTGTGCTGCGTTTAGGCCTGCGGTGTTGGAAGCTGTGAGGGAATGGATCGAGTCGTCGTATCTCAAGCACACAGCCGTGACAGCCGCCGCAGCAGGCAGGCGCCTGCTGTCGTTCAGCCCCAGGAGGGACTCACTCGCCTTCGAAGGGTAGGCAGTCAATATCACATACATAAGCAGTCGGCAGCCATGCATCACATTGGTATCTGGTACATGGCTGTGTGTGTAGGACTGTGTCTTTGGTCGAGTATCTGTTTGGCACAGAGGTCCACATCTTCACCCATGAGCGGAGGGGCGAATCCATCCTGCGGTAGGTGCACCTCACCGATTGCAGATCAACCTCCACGACGACACTGCTTGTTACATTCCTCTTCTCGTGTGTCGTATGCACACAGGCAGATGGGCCCTTACTCCATCCCCAAGGCTGTTCTGCAGCACATCGACGTCATTGAGGTAGGCAACAGACGACAACACATTCAAAGGGCTCACATTTCGTGGCTGCTCTGTTAGGGCTTGTCGGACTTCCCGATGGAGCATGACACAGTCCGCTACGGCCTGCCAGGCGGACCCATCCTGCGAGACGACGCGCGGCACATCGTGGTGCCGCAGATGCTGTACTCCCTCTACAACATTCCCAAGAAGCCCACCACCAGCAAGGTGTCGCAGGGGTGCGCAGAGTTCCAGAACGACAACTCATACAGCCCGCAGGACCTGGCCTACTTCCTTAATGAGGTAGGTGGACAGACAGGCAACCAAGGGAGAGGGACAGGAGAACGTGCGCCTTTGTGATGGAGCATTTGTGGTTTTGTGCAGACGAGTCTGAGTGGCGTCAATGTGTCTCACATCGTCGGCCCCTTCAACCCCGAGTTCCCCGACATCGAGGCCACGCTTGACGTGCAGTGGATCATCGCCGCCGGCATGGGCGCCGAGGACTGGTACTGGACGACACGTGGCTGGATGTTCACCTTCAGCAACAACTTCTTCCACGCTGCGTGAGCCACGCAGGCCAGAGAAAGCGAGGCGCCTTCTGCTTCGGTGAGCACACGATGGATCGGTCGGTCGCTGTGTGTCAGGTCGGTTCCTGAGGTGGTCTCGATCTCGTGGGGCTGGTCTGAGGTGCAGCAATGCTCGGCAGGAATCGACCCACAGGTCGGGGGACGACACACACCATTCATCTCATCACACGGATGCCTTCACAAGGCTCTCCTTCTCCATCCACTGCAGGGCTGCCAAATCGTGGGCGGCGACGCTCGCACGTACGTCAGTCGTGTCAACAGCGAGTTCATGAAGATCGGTCTGCGAGGCGTCACCCTGATCGTCTCGTCGGGCGACTCCGGAGCCAACGGCCGCACCGACTACACATGCCACGACCCCCAGTTCCACCCCACCTTCCCTGGGGCATCGCCCGCCGTCACCAGCGTGGGGGCCACGCAGTTCCACAACTACGTACGTAACGCAGAGGAAGGAGACCAAGGGCGGCGATCTGATCTTGCCACGTGCTATTGTGTGGCTGAATGTGTGTGTGTCTCTGTCAGACGTTGAACCTGACTGAGGGTGCCCCGCCGGTCTGTAAGGAGGGCCCATTCGTGTGCTATGCAAGTGAGCTGCCGACTGCGCCTTGATGGGGTCGGATGCATGTGACTTCATCGCGGTCCCCTTGGCTGCGTGTGTGCGTCCAGATGGCACTGAGGAGGCCGTTTCCTACAGGAACGCCGGCTTCACTTCTGGCGGGGGCTTCTCGGTGTTCAGCAACACACCCAAGTAAGACCAACCAACCAGCCACCCATCCCCTCACCCACACAAATGACTGTGCACACACATCAGGTACCAGGAGCCAGAGATCGCGAACTACCTCTCCGGCGATTCCGAGGTGCCGCCGTTCTCGTATTTCAATCCCGAGGGCCGTGGCTACCCCGACATCTCCGCGTTCGGCACCAACTACCTGATCCGATACGACAGGTCCTGGAGCACGGCGGGCGGCACCAGCGCATCGGCACCGGTCATTGCTGGGGTGGTGTCGCACTTGAACGATCTCTCGTATAAGAAGACGGGCAAGGTTGGAACAGACAGACAGCCAGACAGGGGACGGTGGGAGGGACAGGGAGGGAGAGAGGGAGGGAGGGATGCTGTATGGCGTGTGTGTGCGTGTGCAGCCTTTGGGCTTCATCAACCCGTTGCTGTACCAAATGGCTCGTGAGCACCCGAAGGCCTACAACGACGTGCTCCTAGGCGACAACGTGTGCACCGAGCTGGGCTGCCGCGAGTCATGCAAGGTCAGCCGCAATGCACACATGGCAGCCATCCGTCCATCGCTTCGCGTCGATCCACATGTGTCTCCTCTGCGTTCTCTGTCCCTGGTCAGGGCTTCTATGCGGCCAAGGGATGGGACCCCGTGACCGGCCTCGGCACCCCTAACACGATAGGTGAGATGACGGAATGGCCGTCATGCATATTGTGACGTTGCTCACGCTGCCTGTTGGGTGTGGTGTGTTGACTGACTGACCAGAGATGCTGGCCTATGTCGACAGCCTCATGGACCGACGGCAGAAGACCTTCAAGCCGGCCGCCAAGACCGCCCCGTCGCTTCGTGCGCACGACCAGCAGCACGTCATCCACATCTAAGCCAGGGAGCGAGGGAGGGCTGTGTACTGACTCCCCTGTTGCATGATATGATTGCATTCGTTTTATCGCTTGATTTCGCTGCGTGTAATTGATTTGACGATGGCATGGCATTGCATGGGATGGGTTGGCACGTGTGTTGTGCAGCAGTGAGGCGGGCGATTGCATAAGGGTACACACACGTACTGATGTAGCATAGCAAGATCGGTTTCTTTTCGGCCCGGCTCGGCTGGTTCTGGGGCCCACATCACACGCCATCCTTGCAGCGCGTCTGCTTTGCAACGAGCATTGCAGGCCAGGCTCACTGCACGGAGGGATTGTTAGCACGACCCCAGAACAGGAAAGGACCGGACAGCCCATCAACCAACACAAGGGCCTTCCTGCGTACACTGACTGACTGCAGATGGATGTATGTGTGGGATGGTTAACGAGACTGGGCAATTGGGTGGTTTGTCGGTCGGTCGGTCTGTCTTCCTGGCCGCCTTGACGGGGCGCGCAGCAGTCAGACCGACCCCTGGTACACAAGTCTACGGATACTATAATGCCGCGGGCGATTTTTGTCCTGGCTACCTGTAGAGTAGGTGTACTCATATGTCAGATTTTGATGCCTACATGAGCGCGCACGCACACACACACTCTCTGACCTAGACTGTGGCTAGACACCCCCCCGCACACACACACCCACACACATTCACTCACGCACACACACGTCCATCCGATCCATCGCACGCACCCCCACATAATGTCCGTAATACTTACTTTTGTCTTCACTCGCTCGCTGTTGTCGATCGGTCCATCGGATCGGTCCACACATCAGTGATGTGTGCCGTGTACAGAGTGAATTCATGGTGCAGCTGTCGATATCGGTGTGTGCGGACGGACGGACGGATGTACCATTACGTACATCGGTAAGTCGGTGGCTGTCGCTCCCTGCTGTCTGTGTGTGTGTAATTAAGAATGTCCTCATGTCAGTGGACTGCTAGATGGATGTACTGCCGTTGGTGTGATGCCCTGCATAGCCCTCTGTGCCTCCCGACTGAGCCACGGAGAGGGAAGACTGGCTGCCTGCTATGAGTGACTTGTGTGGATTCTGCCTGATGCATGTATCGACAAGTAAATGCACGCGCACACAGAGGGTGTCTGCACAAGGAATGTCATCCAACATGTCTGTCTGGTCTATACACACTCACGAACTATCGAGCATCAGCCGCCTTGCTCTCCTCGCCAGCAGCGGCGCCCTGAGGGATCCACACACACACACACACACAACTCATCTCATCTGATGCTAACAGATCCCGCGTTCAGTGAATACCCACCCGCCCCCCCGCCCTCTGACTGACCTGCACGCCCTGCGTCCACAGGGTCAGGTTGTCCCTCAGCAGCTGCAGTATCATCGCACTGATATTGATGGCAATCAATGACACACACACCATCCCAACACGAACGCATAGTGGTTACACATGGCCGAGCATCCTATCTACTTGATAACCTGTCTTTGTATTGCTCCTCGCCGAGCGTCTCCAGCTGCCCGATGGCCTCGTCGAAGGCAGCCTTGGCCAACTGACACGCCTTGTCTGAACAGCGAGGAAATGCGGTCAGCGAATGAATAGATGTTGTTTGTGTCTGCGTGTGCGCATGTGTGTGCCTGGGGCGTTGATGGTTTCGTAGTAGAGCATCTCACCGCTGATGTCGAAGGCCACAAGCGTGTCGATAGCAGCCAGGCCGTTCTCATCCCTCACCGCCCCTTTCCTTGGAACCCTCCTGAGCAGCTTGGAAGCCACACGCGCCCCGCCTATACCAATCTCGCCCACAGTGAGGCCACTCGTCCTGCCACCGTGCTGCTCCCGAGAGAAGAGCGGCAGCAGCCAAGACGTGTGTGTGTGTGTGTGTGTGTGTGTGAGAACCAGTGTGTGTGGGTGGCTGACCTGGGTCAAGTGCGGATGGAGAATTTTCTTGACGGTATATTGGTCCACAGTTCATGCGCACTAACCTAGACTAGTCTTGGTTCTTGTCTATCAGTCGTATGTCGGCCTACAGTTGGCCATCAAGGCTCATCCTACGGTCAAAAATGGCAAAATGGTGACATTTTTTTGCGCCTGCGTAGCGGTGTGAGTTTGCTGACCTGCCCCTCTCCTTGTGCACGTGTTTTGCCAGCTCAAGGGTGCACCTGACTCATGCGTCGGATGGGCCGGGCCGTACACACAGACGGTGTGGCGTGCCTGCAGAGATGACACTCACACATAGAGAAAAGTTCCGCTGCGCGTGAGAAAAGTTCCGCTCGACGGCTGTGTGTGCCCTGTGCGTGTCGGGGGGATGCCCTGGTCAATCTGCCGCCCCGAAATCGCCTGCACACGCACTGGTCGCTGCGCTGCACATGGGTCACAACACCCCCCACACACTTGGGTGTCTGTGAGCCCACCCAAACGCACCGAGCGCAGGGGCCAGCTGCAGCATAGCAAAGCCTTCATCGAGAGCAGGCCTCTGGCGCCCGAATGAGCCTCCGATGCAGCCACCTTCCACACACACTGGGCGGCCACCTGGTCAGCCACACACAATTACGGCCACAGCAAACGAAGCAGATGATGTCAGGAGGCCGTGTATTAGCGAATAATGACCCTTTCGTAATGAAGACGATGGTAAGTTTGTTGTGCGTCACCAGGACAGGGGCACTCCCCTTGGCGCAACACGCCCATCTCTGACACACACACACACACACACAGGCACGTCAGCAGCAGAGATTTAACCTTCTGGCTGCTCCTGGCTGCGTGCATGGCCTTCCTGTGAGCCTCTCTGTTGGGATCTATGCGCTTTGGGCGCCTCCCTTTCCCCCCAGCACGTCTAAGCTCGCAGGGTTTGGAACCCTGCGACCGGGAGGCTTCTCCCCATTGCAGGGGGGCGGGGGGAAGGGTAAAGTGCTCAGCTGACCCCTAATTATGCGTAGGGTTTGCGAATTTCGTGAATGCGGTTGGTGTGCAGGAGTGGGCACCACGCAGGCAGGCGCCTTCCCACACACGGATGTGCGCAGGGGTGGGCTGTGTGCAGAGAGGGAGGGAGGGAGGGGGCGTGCACTGCGCACGTGCCCCTCTCTCTCTCTCCCTCTCTCTCTCTCTCTGTGTGTGTGTGTGTCTGTGTGTGTGCGTGTGTGTGTTGTGTGTGTGGTACGGACGAGATTGGCAGCTAGCTCCTCTGGTTGATTAAGTCAGTCAGTCGTGTGTGAGGTCCATTGGTTGTCTGTCAATCAAAGGCATAAGTCTACGGATACTATAATGCTGCGGGCGATTTTTGTCCTGGCTACCTGTAGAGTAGGTGTACTCATGTCAGTTTTTGATGCCTACATGAGCGCACACACACACTCACACACACTCTGACCTAGACTGTGGCTAGACACACCCACCCACCCCCGCATAGCACACACCAACACACATTCACTCACCCACACACACACACGTCCATATCGTCTATCGCACGCACCCACATGATCCCCGTAATACTCACTTTTGTCTTCACTCACTCACTGCTGTCGATCGGTCCATCGAATCGGTCCACACAGATGTGATGTGTGCCATGCGTACGTTTTGCCGTCACGTTCGTCGTCGCTTCCTCTGTACAGAGTGAATTCATGGTGCAGCTGTCGATATCGGTGTGTGCGGACGGACGGACGGATGTACCATTCATCGGTAAGTCGGTGGCTGTCGCTCCCTGCTGTCTGTGTGTGTGTAATTAAGAATGTCCTCATGTCAGTGGACTGCTGGATGGATGTACTGCCGTTGGTGTGATGCCTTGCATAGCCCTCTGTGCCTCCCGACTGAGCCACGGCGAGGGAAGACTGGCTGCCTGCTATGAGTGACTTGTGTGGATTCTGCCTGATGCATGTATCGACAAGTAAATGCACGCGCACACAGAGGGTGTCTGCACAAGGAATGTCATCCAACATGTCTGTCTGGTCTATAGACACTCACGAACTATCGAGCATCAGCCGCCTTGCTCTCCTCGCCAACAGCGGCGCCCTGAGGGATCCACACACACACACACACACACACAAGTCATCTCATCTCATCTGATGCTGACAGATCCCTCCGTCCACCTCCCGCAATCGCATTTAGTGAATACCCACCCGCCCCGCCGCCCTCTGACTGACCTGCACGCCCTGCGTCCACAGGGTCAGGTTGTCCCTCAGCAGCTGCAAAATCATCGCACTGATATTGATTACAATCAATGACAAACACACCATCCCAATACGAACGCATAGTGGTTACACATGGCCGAGCATCCTATCTACTTGATAACCTGTCTTTGTATTGCTCCTCGCCGAGCGTCTCCAGCTGCCCGATGGCCTCGTCGAAGGCAGCCTTGGCCAACTGGCACGCCTTGTCTGCAGAGAAGAGATGCACAAACCAAGCGATGTGTGTCTCTTTTGGCTTGCGTGCACTGCAGATGGGTCGGTATTCCTCTTCCATGCCTGGGGCGTTGATGGTTTCGTAGTAAAAGACGGAGAAGTTGAGGGCCAGCCCCAGCCGCACTGGATGGGTCGCCGTCAAGTGGTTCAACGCTATCTCTGACGCCTGGGTCGTCAACAGCAAAAAGTTCTTCTCTCGCCCTTCTCGCTTCCCTTCTCGTGACCGTTTTGTAAGCGTCATGGGCGCTCTCGGCAGCAGCTGTGTGCGCATCCGCCTGGGGCCAACAAAAGGAGAAAAGACAAACGTACAGTGACTGACAACTCTCTTTGTGTGTTGCTCCTGTTTGTGGTGGGTGACCTGATGGAATTCAGCCGTGTATCTGAGGTAGTCGCCCTTGAGCTTCCAGTAGAACACGCGGCTCTCGGTAGTCGACGCCAAAGGCAACAGATCTGCACCGAACGATCCACGACACGACATGGAAAGTGTTATGTGGCTTTCATCTTGCTGGTCGTCTGGGTACCTTCTTCGATGATCTTGAGCATCTCGCTGCAGATGGTCTTCATCTCCTTGATGACCTTGGCCCGATACAAATTGATGCAATCCTGACACACACACAAACACACACACACACACACACAAACACACATACACCCATACACACAGAGGTGGCCCATTGCTGCGGCTGCCGCACATATCCCACCATGTATGGCCCGGTTCGCTGGGGTTCGCGAGCATCCATGGCCCACAGGACACGCCAGGCGGCACGACGAGTGCCCAGGGAGTTCTTGTATGCGACTGGTCGACAACACATAAACCAAAGCCAATCTGCCATTCGTTTCGTTTTCTTACTGGAGAAGAGGTTCCGCTCTTCGAGTGTGAGGTCGCTCTTGAGTGTGGCGACTCGCCGCATGAACTCCACCTGCCAACGGCGCAGAATTCATGACGGATGGATGGAAGGATGGATGAGGAGTGCAGATCTGCCTGCCCGTTACCATATCGTCGTATCTCTCGCTCTGTTCGGCGAGGCGAGCCATGAACAGATTCTCCTCACGTATCGACGACATCTACCGGTGTCGTCCCGTATACACAAGAGTTTACAAATTTCGGCGCCCACAGACGCCCCCCAGATAGCCCCCGAAACTCACACACTGGAACGCCATCAGCACAGCCACCAGACACTGTGACAGTGACAAGGATGTCGACAGTGGCCGGGAAAGTCACATCCGCGGCGCCGCACGTCCGCCGTCACCCCAACGTGCCGCCGCCAACGAGCGAGCCAACGAGCCTCGCCGGCCAGCCAGGGAGCGCTGAGTGCGGAGGACAGATCGCCCGTCTGATGATGCAAATCGAAGACAAGGACGCCATCATCTCGCAGCTGAGGCAGCAGCTGCAGAGCATCACTGCTGCGGCACACACCATGATGGAGGTCAGGCGAAGAGCCCCATGCCAATGGTGCGTCCATCTGTGGTTCTGTGTCTTCCTTCGCTCGTGCAGGAATGTGAGAAGACCAAGGAAGAAGCCAGGTGCCACAACGCCGAGGCCAATGCCTTCCGCGAGGAGGCGATGGACATCATCTCCAGACAGCAAGAGGCGATTCGCAGCGCTATGGAGAAAATCGACAGGCTGGAGGCGTCTGGGGAGGGGGAGAACGGGAACGTCGAAATGCGGTCGGTTGGTGTCCAGGCGAAGGTGTTAGAGGGTCCACAGAAGCAGAGAGGTAAGAGCCTCGACGAGAATGCATCCATTTTGACCTGCACACGTGTCTCCATGTCTCTCCCCGTCTGCAGCGCCGTCATTCAATTTGCGCCTTTTCCAAGGTGGAACAAGGCCCGTGGTGCGACCAGCTAAGGCGAAGGCTCCAGTTGGGCCATCGAGAGAGCAGCCAGAGCGGATCAAGGCCAAGACTCATCAAACAGGGGGCAAAATGTGCCGCACCATGACGGCGGGAGCGAAGAGGGAAGAGGAGACGAGGGCCTCTGGCGGCGGGAATGGTGTTGCCGTTGGCGTGCCTTTGGGGCGCGGACCGCCCGTGAGAGCGGCAGTGGCCAAGAAAGCTCAAGACAGGGAGGCGCCGTCTGACGAGGCCAAGGGAAGGAAGCCTATCAGTCCGAGCAATCCCTTCGCTGCCCGGGCGCCGCCCAATCTGCCGGCTGCTCAACGCAGCGGGGTGACGGGTGGAGCTGCCGAGACACAGAAGAAGACTCCGCCGAAGACAGCCCACACACAGCCATTTGGCTGCCCTTCGCCTCTGCCGCCGCCTCAGGCATTCAATGCCTTCGGTGCCACGCTGAGGGTCCAGCCGCTGCACGGCGGCCCGATGATGGCCAACGCACCGCCTCACGAAAGAGTCGGTGCTCAGCGGGGGACGACTGTGATGCACATGCCCATGGCGGACACGCGACATCACTTTGGTGAGCAGTAATTGAGAGACACTCACTGACCGATCGATGCTAACCAGATGTGCTGTGTCTCCTTTGCTTGCTGCAGCTGCCCTTCCGGCATCGAAGGCGCCGCCCTTTGTGTATCCCCATGGCGTGCCCGTAGTGGTGCCATCTTATGGCCAGCCGCACTGGGGGCGCGGCGTGTGAGGCTTGTGCAGATGGATGCAGAGAAGAGACACCAATAAGCCGAAAAGCGAGGCCATGATGGAGAGAGAACGATCATGCGATGGCGTGTGGGTGTGGAAGAATGGCTAATGTGGCCGATTGACACAGTGTATGGACGCACTTGTGGGTGGTGGTGAGCGATGGACGACTCTCCCAGCAGACACACGACCCACACTGGGCACCGAGCAGTCTTCATTGGCCATGGAATGTCATTCAGCAGGTCGACGCATGCACACGCACAGAATCCTGTCACACTGCAGCCTCGCTAACCAGCCACCCGGAAGGCTATTGTGCGATCAATTCACCTAGAGGCAGCAGATGAGCCACCATCCTGTGAATGGGTGAGTGAATACACGATGGATGACATCTCTCCACCCATCCCATCTGCCTGCCTGCCTACCTGCCGGCTACACCCCTTTCTCTCCATCGCCCCACCATCGCCCTACCCCTCCATCGAGCCGCACATCTACAGAGATACACCGGTGACACACAGCAGGGGCCGGTAGGCACGAAGCAGAAGCAATCAATCAAAGAGCAACAACCACCCATACAAACAGCAAAATCTCTCAGCCAGCCTGCCCGCCCTCATCTACCTGTTTGCCTGTCTCATGTCATCCTCAGCGGTGTGAATGTCTGCCTCCCGTCCCGCCCCTTGTCGACACACCCCACCGCCCCCCACACCACCGCAGCCACATCCTTGCTGAAGCCGTTGTCGATGTCCCCCGCCAGCCCCCACTTGGTCGCCTCGTCCAGGATGGCCCGCTGCACCACCTCACGCAACTCCATCTCGCGGCCACCCACACCGCCCACCACAAAGCACTGCAGCTGCGGCACACGCACCACCTGGCCGCCCACATTGGTCGTCCCGCCCACCACCTCCCTGTTGCTGCTGGCCTGGTACACTGCCGACTTGACGAAGAGCTTCGCTGCCGCACACACACGCCGGGCCATGTCGCTGTGCCGCACACCGATGGCCTCACTGATGGTCTCCTGGGCGGCATCCATGTCGAAGAGGTATGACGCGATGTGCCAGCCGAAGATGGGGGCCTCCTGCGGGCCGACGGCCAGCCTGGGGGTCAGGAGGGCCGCGAGGGAGCGGTGGGGGGCCAGGGCGGCGTTGACGGCCGACATCACTGCAGGGCCCACCTCGTTGAGCACTGTGCCATACTCCGTCAGCACCAGCTGGCGCTGACGGTGACGCTCCTCTGTGGCTGTGGGGATTAGATTGATGTCGGCCCCCGCCCGCAGCAGGCTGCGGATGGTCAGCTTGTACTTGTCACTCTCAGCGCGCATCTTTTCCTTGGCGGCCTCGGGCGTGTCCGGGTCCTGCAGCCGTTGGGTGCGGCGATCGAGCTCCTCGGCAGCTGTGGCGAGGGGTGTCTGGCCGTTGTTCTCCCGTCTGTCGATGTCGGCAGCGGGCAGCTTGCGGCAGAGGTAGTCGGCCACGTAGGGAGAGCCGCACGCTGCCGCGTAGTGCAGTGGCGTACATCCAAAAATGGTACCTGCCGTCATGTCGGCCCCCTTCACTCTGATGAGGTCGAGGTAGCTGCTGATGAAGGGCTGGGGGTAGTGCCTCCCCGCCACTTCGGCTGCCCGATGCACCAGGCTGTAGCCCCAGATGTCTCGTTCGGCAGCGAGGGTGGGGTCTCGTGCGACGAGTCGCTCATACATCGACAGCAGCAGCTGCAGATACTCGAGGGGAGGCGGACGCAGCGAGCGGGGCAGCATCATCACCATGCGTGGGCCTGGTGAGCGCAGGTCTATGTCTTGACGCGCCATCAGCAGCTCGAAGGCCGTCCGGTTGCCGCACGCAGTCGCCAATTGGAGGGGCGTCTCCCCGGGCCGATCGGCTGCCGCATCGGTGTCGGCGCCTCCGTCGAGCAGTGCGGTGAGGACGGCCGCCTGCAGCTCATCCGACGACCACTGTGGCAGGGCGACGGGACGGTCATCATTGTCGTCTTCGGCCTGGATGGTCCCGACGGTGAAGTCCGACTTGCTGTCGATGGCGATGGCGAGGAGCAGGTAGCGGAACCCACGATGCTTGGTGCCCTCCCTCTTCAGTCGAGGCATGATATTGGGGTTGGCTCCCTGTTCGATGAGGTCGGTCACGTGCTGTGCGCTGGGGATGGTGCGGCCGATGACGCCCAATGCCAGCGACTTGGTGGCCTCGTTGGTGCCGAGAGGGAATCGCGCCTCCAGCTCATCGGCTCCCAAGAAGCCGTCTGGCCCGTCGGCTGAGGTGATTGGCACCACCGGGTGGCCTGGTGGGACACACACAGCCATCAGACGACGCACACCGAGAACGAATGCATGTATGGGCCCGCACCTCGCCCCCTCCCTCTCATGTGTCTGTCTGTCTGGCGTACCTTCCTCCTCATAGCCGTCGTCATGACCGTCGCTGTCTAAGTCACTGTCGTCTTCCCACTCACTGTCCCCGTTCTCGTCGTCTTGGTCTTGGTCTTCGTCCAGCATCCCTCCGTCGTCACTGTCGTCCTGCATACCACCGCCCTGACACAGCGACACAGAGGCAACGGGAGAACAGCCAGGTGACGAGCGCCACATGGACGGACGGGGTGCTCGCGAACGAATGCCTCACCGATTCGCTCCCATCGGCCATCACACCGCCCTCCTCATTGTCCTCACCTGAACACAATCAACCACATGCACACACATGGACACAGAATCAAGTGCTGCGGCGTTCGGTGCTGACCGTCAGGCTCGTCGCCGCTCTGGAGTTGCTGCACGGCGTCGACGTCCATCGGGGGCTCCGCGGAGTCCTCCTGCTGCTGCTCATCTGCTGGTTGCCGTGCGGCCATGAGTGGGGCTCGGTGGTGCACACAGAGAGATAGCCCTACAACCTCTTGACGCCCTGACAGTGACACGCACACAAGGAGGAATGAGGGGCCTTCCTCCACCGACGACGCCCTTGCTCCTTCCCGCCTGCCCGCGCACCTTCTGTGTCCTGTCCTCTTCGGACGGCCCTCACCTCACACAGATCAAAGCAGATCTGCCGCCCTGGACTCACAAATCACGATGAGACGGAAACTGGCGGATGCCCGTGGTGTATTGAGGTGTGTGGCCGCCACTGGCGGTGATCTCTGTCAAACACTTCCCTCGCACTTCTTGACTCGCCCTAGGGTGAAGGGTTCAAACCCTAACCCAGATATCAAAGCGTTTGCAAACTCCCGGGGAATTTGGGAGCGAATTTGGCGGGAGGAGAGCCAGGAGCAGGTGGAGACCGACGCTAAGATACGCACGATGAACAACCGAACCAAGAGGTATATGGAGCAGCAGAGACAGGGTCAGTACCGGGCCACAGGTGCGTGAATAAGTGCGAGGGCGTACTGATCGGAGGGGCCGGTTTCGGTATGGGCTTACGATAGTCTGCACGCTGCAAAGGACAGTCAAGCATGTGTGGGATCCGTGAACTGGTGGTGTCTGTGGCTCAAGTTAAGGACGCTGCGCGATGCTTGCTTTGTGCGAAGGCCGATTCAATTACTGTGTCGACACACATCACATACAGTCACGTCTGTGCACGAATTGTCCGACAGAGCAAAACATACCCCTTACTTCTCCCAAGGCAGCAATCCCTCCCCGCTGTCTGGTCATCCAGTCGCCGATTCCTCCTCCCTCCCTCGGTCAACCCTCTCTCGGTCAATCATCACTCCCTGTCCCTTCTGGCCTTGGGAGCGATGGCCTCGATCGCCCTCGCTGCCGCAAGCGTCGGATCGTTTGGATTCGACATGAGGAACTCACGGTACTTGTCCATGAACACAGACGACTGCACGGGCAGCTCCCTCGGAGACTCGCACAGGCCCCTCTCCTCCGCCTCATTCCTCGCTGCCAGGGCGTCTGCCTCCTCATGAGTGATGTCGGCCGGCTCTGGCTCATACACCGGCTCTGGTAGGGCTGGGGCAGGGGAGGAGGCAGGCTGCATCGGCGGCGCAGGCGCTGCTTTGGTGGCCGTCTCATTCTGGTCCTTGGCCTGCTGTCTGGCCGCCGCCTTGGCCCCCTTCTTGCTGTTGGCCGGCTGCTGCGGCTGTCCCTTGCCGCCTTTGGCCGCTTTGCCCTTGTTGGCAGCAGCGGCCTCCTTCTCGCGGAAGCCCCAAAGGTCAGCGGCGCTGACCTCTGGGATCAGATTGCCTGAGGGGATGGGGTCGGTCTTGACTGTGCGGATCTGCTGGAAGAGCGGCCAGTAGAGCGCCTGGGGCATCTCGTCGCCGAGCACCATCTTGTAGATGAACATCGGCGAGTCGTTGACGCCGCCAAGGTCCCAGTAGCGGAAGCCCGCCTGCTTGAGGACGGCCGTCTCGAGCAAAGCCAGCACATAGCCGGGCTGCAGCTGCTTGTAGTTGCGGTCGTAGAACCTCGTCGACACGTACACTGACGCGCCACACACATGCTAAACACACACAAGACAACGACAGAGGGTGGTGTGGTGTGGTGTGCTGTGGTAGTTTGCTGACTGACGTCGCACCATGGGGTCGGCGGCGATCATGACCTCTCGTGGCGGTTCGCCATCCTCACTGCCGGGGAGGGATGCCCACAGCTCGAAGAACATCAGGGGGCAGGAGGGAAGGTCCATCATGCGAAGCCATACCTGCACACAGACAGGCAGAATGGGTGTGAATGCCACTCAGACACTCGGACGTCGATTCGACGCACCTGCTCGAGTTGCGAGTGGAGCCAGTTGTCGGTGCCGTGGTGCTCCTTGATCTTCTCCATCACCAGACGAGGGCTCTGCACACACACACACACACACAGACCCTTGCTGGTTGCCGTCAGCATGTCCTGCCTCTCTCACAGTATACAGTGTTGACGCGGAGCGACAGAGTGATGCCCTTGTTCTTGAGCTGACGGAACAGCGTCGTCGCGTTGCGCACACGGTTCTTGCGCCGCCTCACGCCCTCGCGATTGGCCAAGATCGGCACGTCAGGCGCCACGCTCGGCACGACAGAGGGTTCAGGTCGGCACCAGCCCACAGATGCAGACGTGATGGTCTCGTCGGCGAAGAAGGCATCTGAGCAGAGGTCGAGCACGGCCCGGCGGCGATGGATGAGGCCGATGAGCTTCTCCTTCTCGTCACCCGAAGTGACGTCTGATGGAAAGGCGAAAAATGGATGGACGCATTGTCTCCGGTTGCGCTGCGGTTAGGGGTGCTGGTGCTTCGTAAGCTTACACGCCATGCTTGAGTAGAGCAGGTTGGAGATGATGGCTGCCCCCATGGCCCGATGCTCTCCCTGCCTGTCCTCCCCGTCCTGCTCGCCCTGCCCCGGCGGGTTAAGGACGAACGCCTTGCCGATCCCATTGATGAGGACGCTACCAGTGATGCTCGACTCGCTCCACCTGCACAACACAACACAGCCAGAGAATCCTATCGAGACACTCTTGCCGGAGTGCCTCTCTACTTCCTGCGCACCGCACCTGTCAGCATACATGTCCCTGAGGGCTGAGGGCAACGACGTGGGGTTGCCTGCGTGGCCCTCCTCCAGCGCCCGAGCACTGTGGTCGTCGTCCTTGCCCGTCGCAGCGCCCAGCGGCAGACACACGAACCGCTGGGCAACGGGGTTCGACGGGCGGGGGGGAGCGGCCGACTCGTTGGTGTACAGCATCTCCATGAAACCCATCTGCACACATACACACACACACACAGACCGTGCCTATTCTGCAAGCCAATTGACCGACCAGTAAGGTCACCCACCGTGTCCCCCAGAGTGAAGAGGGAGAAGAGCGGCCGTGGGTCGGAGATGCAGCCGGCCATCCTCTGCCCCATGAGCTGGGGCTTCAGCTCCGGCCACATCATCGCCAGGGTGTTGTGGGGGTACGTGTTATACTTGTCGTTCAGGAAGGCGCAGTAGCCGTCCGTCGCCTCGATGACCCGATCGAGGGCGGCCAGCACGTTCGCCTGTGCCCGGCTCGTTGAGGCGAGGAAGCGCGCCTTCTCGAAGTCGCACACACGGGCACAGAAGCGCTCGAACACATCTCTGTTCGACTCATAGGGCAAACCGAGACCTACACGAACAACAAAGGGCAGCATATTACCCATGTGCTAACACGTTGCTGAGTGCGTCGCTCAAAGTGTTTGTTGGTTGGTACCCTTGAATGAGCCGATGACGCCACACGACTGCACGATCTCGTGGAGGACGCTTGTGATGCGGCCGATTGAGTGGGTGTCGTGGGTGCTCATGGCGGCATCGACGTACCCGTAGACCCGCGGCATCATCTCGCCCCACATCAACTCGTTCTGGGAGTAACTCTGATCAATCAACCGAAACACCATCCATCCACACACATCACATCCACAACAGTCTCTCTGTCTGCCAGTACATCCCATCCATCGTACCTGTGAGATGTTTCCCATACCGACGGCAGCGATGCTTGCCTCCATGGCGGATATGACGCCCGACCACCACGTCTGCAGCTCCTCGAGCACCTCCAGCACGTTGAGGAGAGCCAGCTCCAGCTCCTCCGACCAGACGTGATGCCGCCCGTCGGTCACCGGGCCCTCCACAGCCTTCTCACCCGAGGTGGCGCCGCCGTCCATGTTCATCCCCCACATCCACTGGTGCTTGTCGGTGAAGTGGTCCAGCGAGTCCGTGAACTCAGACGTGGCCGTGTAGACGGAGAGGAGGAAGCGCCTGGTGGCTGACTGCCCCTTGACGGTGATGGCGTGGTAGCCGTACTCGTCGGGGACGTAGATGATGGGCAGCTGGCCGGCGGTGTAGTGGAACTCCTTCTGCGAGGAGGGGAGGCGGATGGTGACCGACACGATGGCGTCGTCTGGTGGGCCGTCTTGCGATGGTGCGTCGTCGTCAAAGTTGACCTGGATGGGGGTGTACTTCTCGAATCGCTGCTGGAGGACGCCCATCGGGGTGTGCTGCGACAGATGCAGCAGCTTCAGCCTCCTGGCAGGCAGAGAGGAACATCCATCCCATGGTCTGCCTGCCTGTGGACAATGATGATGATGATGATTCAGCCACGTACCTGCTATCGATGAGATTCTTCTGTATCTGTGCGCACTCCTTCAGAACCTCATCAGTGACCATATCGTCTGCACACGAACAACGACAGATAGCAAAGCATCGGGTGGTGAGATGCCAGTCAGTCATTGGTCGAGTGATTCGCTCTACCTGCACTGTGAAGGAGTGCCATAATCGTGCCCTCATCAATCGGCTGGAACTGCCGCCGCAGCAGCTCGTAGTCCGCCATATATTATATTGTGGTGACGTCTTCGTTGCTCACTTCATGTGGCGGCTGATTTTGATGGAGTTCCGAATACGGCGGCGGCCTTGTGACAGCGCTGTTCGTCTTGCTCTTCGCGTTTTGTGCGTTCTTTTCTCCAAGTCGTTGCGAGCTTCCTTTGCGAGCTTGAAGCCGAAAGTGTCGCAAAAGAGAAGCAAATCCACAAGAGCACGTCGAGTTCGTCGTGCATTCGCCGCGCCGAGGAGGATCAGCCAGAGATCAGCTGCAGCAGCTGAGGACAGGCAGGAGTGTCTCTGTGAGTCAGTGAGGAGTGACTCTGGCAAGGCAACAGTCAGAGATCTGCCCTCTCGCATCAGCTGTCGACACGCCACTCGCCCCCCGCGAGTTGCCCGGCTGTCTGCTCGTCCTTTGAATGCTCTTCTGGCTGACCCACTGCGTTTCCATCAGCAGCAGCCGAAGATCAGCGAGTCGAGGGAGCGGTTCCACGGTATCTTGCCAGCATGTCGATGTTTCTCAAGCCAGAGAATGCTTTGAAGCGGGCTGAGGAGTTGGAGGCCGTGGGTCAGCGGGAGACCGCCCTCCAGACACTCCACTCTGTCATCAGCCACAACAGATTCAAGTGAGCCGCACCCAGACACACACACAGACGGACAGACGGACAGACGGACAGACGGACAGACGGACAGACGGACAGACGGACGGACGGACAGACAGAGAGGCAGACAGCGGCGGGATGGCAACGATTCTGCATCTGTCTGTCATCTGTGTGTCGTATGTGTGTGTGTGTGACCTGCCCAGGTCGCAGGGATGGAACGCGACGCTCGAGCGTGTGCTCCTCAAGTACGTCGACTTCTGTGTTGAGCAGCAGCGTCTCAAGTACGCCAAGGAGGGCCTCATCCAATACAGAGGTAGCTACCACACACACGCGCACACACGCACACAGATACATGACCAAGGCAACAACGCCCCATACGATCGGCTGTTCCATTCAAAGTGTTTCTTGACTGTCTGTCTGTCTGTGCGTTCAGGTCTGTGTCAGCAAGCCAATGTTGCCTCGCTCGAGACGGTCATCTGTCGGTTTCGCGACTATGCCGAGGAGCGCCTCAACGACGCCAAGAAGCGAGCACACAACATCAAGGTGAGTGGGCGGCCGGCCCATGACTCAGCTACGTGGTGCCTTCCCTGTCGCTCATCTGCTGTGCCTGTGTCTGATGTATGGGTGTGTGCAGATCACCGACATGGCTGATTTGGAGGGCGAGGAGTCGCCCGAGGCGGTGCTGCTCAGCAGTGTGCAGGTGAGCAGAGACTGACCCAACAAACCATCCTCCTTACACGCACGCGACACAGACGTGCACACCTGTCTGTCTGTCTGCATGGTGTGGTGTGTCTCCCTCTCAGCAATCTGACCGCGACCAGCAGTCTCGTGAAGTGCACGATGCCTTCAGGTGAACTGAATGAACCAGGCACACACATGACAACACTGGTCCATCGCCCTGGTTGGTTTGTTCAGGTTTGTGTGGGAATCGTACAAGACGATTCTGGACATCCTGCGGACCAACTCGCGCCTCGAGAAGGTGTACCACGACACGGCGCAGAAGGCCTTCGAGTTCTGCCTGGCCAACCAGCGGCCGCAGGAGTTCAAGCGCCTCTGCGAACGCATCCGCAACCACTACGCCAACATACAAAAGCAGGCCATGACCAAACGTATGTGAGCCGAGCCGCGTGTGACGTGACCTGAATGAAGCGATGGATGGGGATGGGTGCTGCATGCCTCTGTCTGTCTGTGTGTCTGTCTGTCTGTCTGTCTGTTTGTGTGTTGGTGCAGCTGGTCAGCAGAACCAGATCAACCTGAACAACCCCGAGACCATCGCCGCCATGCTCGAAACACGATTCACGCAACTCAAGGTAGCCCGGAAGGGACAAAGGTACCTAAGCACAGATGGATCGGCCTCCATGTGTGTGCAGGTTGCGTCTGAGTTGACCCTCTGGCGTGAGTGTTTCGCCACGTCTGAGGACATCTACGCCCTCATGGTGGTAAGGCCAAACCAACAACACCAGGGAGGGACAAGTCGGCGGCTCATGTCATGTGGCTGTGTGTGTTCAGAAAACGTCCAAGCGTCGCCCCAAGTTGCTGGCCGACTACTATGACAAGCTGCAAACGGTGGGTGGTTGGATGACGGGACGATGTCGCTTCATCTTCCTGCCTTGTGGGACTGAATGTCCTGACGTGCTATCTTACCAGATATTCTGGGTGGGAGAGGACTACCTGTTCCATGCGTGCGCCTGGTGAGTGAATCGACACACCGATAGATACACGAACGAAGTCCAGCTGGAATCCTTCAGTTCATGTCTGGGTGCGGTGCATGGGGATTCATGTGTGTGGTGCTTGCTTGGTGCAGGCTCAAGTATTTTCTGCAAGTCCGGACACACAAGAAGTCGGCAACCGAGCAGGAGATCGAGCAGTCGTGCACCCTCACCGTCCTCTCCATCCTGGCCATTCCACTCCACATGTAAGCCAGCAGGGATACATCACATCACTTCAGCCAGCACCCTCACTCGACGAATCGAGGGATTTCACGCGTCGGTCGTTGTGCGCAATCGTTCATTTCATTCCTTTCAGCGGCAACCTGTCTGCGGCTCATCGTCTGGGCACTCAGGAGGACGACATCCGTCGCGACAAGGCCAGACGCATGAGCCAACTCCTCTTCTATCCAGGTGGGTCAACACACACACACACACACACACACATACACACACACACGGCCACGAATGCCTTGTGTTGGTTGATGCGATGGGTGCAGTTGTGCCGAGTCGCGAGTACCTGCAGCAGGAGCTGCAGGCCAAGCAGATCCTGGTCCACGCACACCCCGCCTGCAAAAAGCTATACACACTGCTGGAGAACGACTTCACCCCACTCAGTCTATGGTAAACCGGGAGGGAAGGGAGCGACTGAGCTGAGCCACAACGAGACAGACAGAGGCGCGGCACTGAGGTCATTGTCTGTCCCTGTGTGTCCCTGTGTGTGTGTGTGTGTGTTGTGTGTGTGTGCAGCACCGACTGTCTGCCTCTGCTGGATGAGCTGCCCGACTTCGCCCACAAGTACATCATGCCCATCAAACGAGTCGTCTGCCACAAGACCATCATGCAGCTCGCTAACGTGAGACGCATGACGCAGTCAGGCAGACCGATAGGACATGAGAGCACAGCATAGCACGGCTTGTGTTGTGTGTCGGGCAGGTCTACAGCACGTTGTCGGTGGACTACTTCACGAGGGCGGTGTGCCCCGCGAGTTTCCTCGAGTGGGCGGAGGCCGAGAAGGTCATCGTGGAGCTCGTCCACAAGAAGCAGGTGCAGCTGCGCATCGACTACGTCAAGAAGGCCATTTTTTTCGGCGCATCCATGGCAGACGCAAGCGACGGGTGAGGGAGGGGAGCGCCGCAACCACAAGCAGCGAGCAGCGGCGGGCGCACAGACAGATGTGTGGTTCGTTCTCTCTCTCTGTGTCGGTGTGTCGACCATGCCATCCATCCATCAGTTTGAAGCATCAGTTGGTCGACTTGGCGACTAAGCTTGAGCAGGCTGTCAAGAAGATCGCACCAAAGGTCGGCCAGCAGGCGACGGGACGGGCGACACACATCCATCCACTCTGTAACTTCACTCACTTGTGTGTGCTGGCTTCCTTCGTTGCCTGCAGGGCATCCAGCAGCAGGACATGACTGAGAAGGAGCGTCTGTTTGAGGAGATCACCGCCAACCTCAGGAAGGAACACCGCAACGTGCAGGAAAGGTAAGGACGGGTCGAGTCGACGCGACTTGACACACCCTAGATAGCCTATGTATGCGAATGACTGCGTCCCTCACCGGTTGGTTGCCTGTGTTGGCTGGCGTGCCTTCGTTCGTCTGCTCTGCGTTTGCAGGAAGGCCGAGATTGAGTACCGCAAGCAGCAGCGCGAGAAGGAACAAGCCCGCATCGACCAGGTACACACACCCACATCTCGTCCATCAACCAACAGCTCGTTCGTTCATGTGTTGTCTGTCCCCCCTGTCTGTCTGTGCCATCCATTCATCAGGAGCAACGTCGCAAGATGGAGGAGATCAAAGCCCGCGAGGAGGAGGCCGAGGCCAGGCGCCGCGAGGAGGAGAAGAAGAAACGCGAGGAGGAGAAGCAGAAGGAGGAGCAGGAGAAGAAGGAGGTCGCCAAGACGCAGGAGATGCTCGAAGCCATCAAGAAAATGGCCAGCACCAGCCAGGCCGCCGCCAAAATCACGGTACACACGTATGTGTAGTGTGTGACCCCTCCCCTCCACAGCCAGCCATTCCTATCCTCCCACACACCATCTGCCTCCCTCACTGTGTGTGTGTGTCCGTTGACCAGATCGGCGGCAAGAAGTTGGACGAGGTGGGTCTGGACGACGTGCGTCACATGAACCGAGAGGTGCTGGAGAAGGCGCAGGAGGAGCAGCGCATCAAGGAGCGCAACGAGAAGATCCGCCAGCGCAAGCTCGAGGCCAAGCGGGTGGACCACCTGGCGCGCGCCCTGCGAGAGGAGGAGCTCCCTTTGCTGCAGGAGAGGCTCGTCAAGATCCAGGAGGAGGACAAACAGTACCACGACGTCCTCAACCAGAACTACATGCAGGGTGAGCGAGAGCGAGAGCCAGAGCACGGCGCGTGGGCGACGGACGGGGCATGCACATGTGTGTGTGCTGTTTGTTTGTTCTCCGGTGTGTGTCAGAGCACAAGCAGAGCCACGACGCGCTGGTCGCCGAGAAGAACCTCTTCGTGCCCGTCAAGCCATACAGGGTGAGTAAGGTCACGAAAGAGACAGGGCCCATCACTGCCAGTGGTGGATTGGTTGTTCACGGCTGTGTGTGTCGATGGCTGGCACGTGCCTGCCTGCCTGCAGGAGTCGTGGATTGAGCGTCAGATGGAGGGCAAGCGCGAGGAACTCGAGGCCAAGCGACGCGAGGCACGACAGGAAATACGAAACGTAAGGCAGAAAAACCACTCCCCCCCACACACACACGCACTGGCAGACACGTCACACATGTTCATCGCAACCGAGCGATTGCCTGCCTGTTGGTGTGCGTGCGTGTGTGACCAGATGATCATCGAGCGCAAGATCCACCGTGCCCGCGAGCGCAAGGAGCAGGCAGAGGAGGAACGACGATACGTAAGCAAACAACCAACCAGCCAAGCAATACCATGACGATTCGCGCATCGGTGTGTTTCTTTCAGCGTGAGAAGTTGGAGGAGGAGCAGCGCCGCAAGGAGGAGGAAGCACGGGTGAGTCAGATGCACTCACTGCACGTGTGCGTGTGTGTGTGTGGGAGAAGAGAAGCCAGCCAGTCACTGTCACTTAGGTCAGGACATGGCAGGGCAGGGCAGATCAGTTCAGTTGGGGTGAGTGAGTGCGGCTGGTTCGTTCGGCTGATGATGATACCAGTTGCGTCCTTGCTACAGCTGGCCGGCTGTCAAAGAGCCAGTCAGCAATGAGGAAGCACTTTTGGAGCTGGACTGAGGCTCATACCATACACACACGCCACGCCACGCCACGCCACGCACGCCCCATCCCTCCATCCATCCATCCATGCATCCATCCCATGTCTGCTCATCCCATCCGTCTCCGCTTGCCTGTGTGTTGTCTATGTTATGTGTCCATCCATCCATCCATCCGTGTGTCTATCAGTTGGCTCGCGAGGAGGAGGAGCGGCTGCGCGCCGAGGCCGAACGCAAAGACAGAGAAGAGAAAGAGGTCAGTGTTCCGTTCCACACACACACACACCCCCAGAAGACACACGCCCTGCTGCCTGTGTTGACTTCCCTTTCCTGCCTGTCCCTCTCTCATCTCAGCGGAAGGAGCGTTTGTTCAAGCAGGCGGAGATGCAGCGCAAGCGCATGGAGGAAATCGAGGCCAGGGAGAGAGACCGCGACAGGGACAGGGAGAGGGAGAGGGAGTTCGACTCGCGTCGCGATCGCGACCGCCTTCGTGACGAGGATGAGCGAGACTTCGGAGCCCTCAGGGGGGACCGAGACAGAGAGAGGGAGAGGGAGAGAGAGCGGGACAGGGAGGAGCGGCCGCGTGAGCGTGAGGGTGGTCGATACGTGCCGCCCTCTCGGCGTTCGAGGGACGACGAACGTCGACCCGACGACCGTCGCTTCCGTGACGACGAGGAGGACGACCGCGGACCTCGCAGGGTCAGCAATACACGATGGGGGGACGAAAGAGGCCTTACCTCGTGTTGGGTTCTTGTGCAGATGGATCGTGGCCGTGAGGACGATCGCGAGTGGCGTCGCGATGACCGCGATGATCGGAGGGACGACAGGCGTGACAGAGAGAGGGACAGGGACAGGGGCGGACGTGACCGGGAGCCCGACAGGCGCCGCGACTACGACCGAGACAGAGACCCAATCGAAAGGTGTGTGTGCTGTGCAAGCAATGGGGGAGGGAGGGGGAGGGGGGAGAGAGGAAGCGCAGAGGGTGTCACTGTGGATTCGTGTGGCCTTGGTGGCTTTGTGTGCAGCAGGGAGGCGTTCAAGGCTCGCGGCCGAGACCACAGAGGAGGCCGGGACGACCGTGGTGACCAGGACTGGTGAGAGACAGAGAGAGAGGAGAGGTCGAGAGACGGAACCACAGACAATCCGCTCACTGCTCGCTCTTTCCGATTTCAGGAGTTTCATTCGCAGTCAGGAGCACGACAGGGAGTTGGAGGAGGACCGCAAGCGGCAGGACGACCGACGCCGAGCCTCAAAAGACCGAGGAGGACGCCCGCCGCGAGACCGCCTCGACCACCAACACACGAACGGACACGATGACCGGTTAGTGAGGCTGCCGTACCACCACCAGCGGCCCGAGACGGCCTAGATGACTCCTCCTTTGTCTGCGCATGTGTGTGTGTGTGCATGTGTCTCACTCAGTGATGATGACGGCCCGACTCCGAGTCGCCGAGGCGGCAGATCTGACGGCCCGGTGGATGGCGACAGCCCACAAGACAACCACGTCAAGCCTGACGGGTCAGACAACCACTTATTTTGTCCCTTCCTTCATGACACACACGGTGCCCTCCCCACCTGACGTTTGTGTGTGTCGGTGTTGTGTTGTGTTCAGTCCTGTGGCCAACCACGTTGGCGACGAGTCGCCCGCCGTGGATGGGGACGTCGATGAAGACGGGTTCCAAACGGTCTCTTCGCGCAGACGGTGAGCAACCACACACACACACACACACCCGATGGACGGGATGGTCATGTGTGTGTGTGTGCGTCCGTGCAGGAATCCGAGCCGCAAGTGAGCGGGGTGGCCTGTTGCCCCTGTCTACCTGCCTGGCTGGCTGGCTGGCTGGCCACTAGTCTGTCTGTCTGTCTGCATGTGTGTGCTGGTGCGGCTGAGTGCCTGTCCGTATGCCTGTCTGTCTGTCTGTCTGGCGGCTGGGTCACTTGGCTCTTCGGATTTTTACACATCAAGGAGAGGAGAGGAGAGGAGAGGAGAGGAGAGGGGTGGGAGCGGTGCGTGAGTGCTGTGTTGTGTTGTGTTCTGACTTGGCTGCCTTGATCCTGCGAAGCGGCCGGCAGAGAGGCCCCCTTCATCCAACCATCCATCCTTTTGGTCAAACGATCCGCTCTTCTGGCAGGCAGGCAGGCAGGCAGGCAGGCAGGAACAGGAGCGGGAGGGCGGGAGGGAGGTTTAACCGTGGAAGTCCGTGTGGGCCTCGTCTGGCATGATCTCGAATGTGTCACAAGCCAACTCTCTCTCTCTCTCTCTTTCCCACGATTTTAACACTCCTCGCTACTGCCCGGTAGACAGCCCATCCGTGCTGCATGCTTATGCGATGCCTTTGAAAACACCCGTGTGTGTGCGTGGCTTCGGAATTTTCTCCGTCCCATTCTTTCTTTCAGTCGTCGCCTCAGACAATCAATCAATTGACAGTCCGACGCTGGTATGCATGCTGTTGTTCGTAAAGGCGCGTCATCACAGACATGTCCAATGTACCATCGACCCCACCAACACAACACAACACACCACAGCTCATCCCAATCCCACGCACGACCGACATCCGACGAAGAGTTCGTAGGCTATCGATCCTTCGACTGGTGTGTCGAAGAAATAGTCTGACAACTCGTCAACGAATCGTTGGTACGTGCAGTGCATAAGGGAAGTGGCGGCAGACAGACACACCAACACAGCCAACACACATCGGTCGGTCGACGCATATGCGAAAAGCTCTACGTCTCGGGCGGGGTTCGGTGCATGAGCATGAAGTGCGTTCGTTGATCAAGCAAGCTCACATCTCATCCAACAGACTGAGAATTAGTACTGGCTCATTTGTGGTCCGGTCCACCCCTCGGTGCATGGAGTCACGGCACCCACCATGTAGCGTATGTGTGTGGCGATAAGATGAGTAAAGCCCGATGAAGCCCCATGGCATGAAGCCCACCACCCAGAAGAGCCAGCAAAGAAACAGTTCCCACCAACCCCGTGCCCACTATGTGGGAGAAAAATCCCTTCTCATCCCCCCCCCCCCCTCCTCCCCGTCGTTGGTGAAATCCATCAGCCATTCATCAGTGTGGATCATTCGCTCGGCCCCATGCACACGCACACCACTCCACACCACACTACACCATATCACAACACAACAATCACATCGATTGGACAAAAATCGGCCACGGAGGTCAATTGACCCCAGGTGCTCGTAGTGGTTGGTCACGCAATCCACAGCACATTGACAGGAGACGCACGTCGGATGGATGGATGGATGGCAGGTGTGATGACCAGTAGGAACAGCGTCTCTGTCTGGTGGTGTGAAGGGCGTGTGAAGACGAACGACTGGCATCCGACCACATCACACACACAGGCGTGAAGCCAAGAGCCAGCTCATACGATCGATGCAGCTCTTGCCCCAGCAGTCAGTCAGTCAGGCAGCAAGGCAGGCAGGCACGCAGTAGCTGCGTCTGTATCAAAAAGCTGCACGCGCACATCCCCCCTCCCCCACCAAGAAGCACACAAGTCCTCCCTGTCCCTCTCATGACAACCAACACACATCAGCAAACCCATTTGTCTGTCAAGTACGCCCATGCATCCCATCCATCCCATCGTGCACTCGTCAGCTTCTATTTCTTGACTGTGACGGCGAGGGCGACGAGGGACGCGATCGCGATGGAGCCGGCGACGATGAAGGGGAGGTAGCGCGTCACCTGGCTGCCCGAGCCGGTGTCGCCAGTCACGCCCTCAGGCGTCAAACCTGAAGGCAGGCACCAACACACAGCATGCAACGGACAGAGGATGTTTAGGGGTGTTGCGTGTTGATGTGTGTGTGTCCCTGGCTGTCCGTCAGGTCAGGTGGCTGCCTGTCTGCCTGTCTGACTGACCCGAGTTGTGTAGGATGATGTCGAGCCCGCCGGTCTTGGGGTTGCGCTGGTAGATGTAGGTGAACTTGGCGTGGGCGCACGTCTGCTTGCCGCCCTTCCAGAAGTGGAAGTCGTAATACCTGCACACAACAAACAGGGCACACCCACTCCAGCAAGCGTCCTTCCCCTCCCTCCCTCCCCTGCCTGTCTGTCTGGGGTGGTTTCTTACCCGTTGTAAGCGACGACGCCCGGCCCGAGTTGGATGATGTCGTCCTCCGTGACGGTCTCGGGGAAGTTGGGCTCGATCTTGTCCTTTGCGAGGAAGCCCACAAAGTACTCCTTGATCTTGTCGGAGTTCTGACGCAGGTAAGTCGCCCGCGTGTCAACAGTGCCTGAGCGAGCGACATCACATCAACCACCACACATCCCGTACGAGGCAGGCATGTCTGTGCGATGCGATGCGGTGCGGTGCGGTGGCTGTCTTGTATTGTCTTACCGAGGAGCCAGCCCCGTGCACCAGTGGAGTCGGGCGTGGCGTACAGCTTGGCTACGTTGTCGGGGTTCAGCGTCTTGACTGCACGCGCCCATACCACAACACAGCACAAGACACAGAGAGTGATGGGACAGTCACAAAGATGACTGGTGTCGCCTCCTTTGTCGACTCTTCGCCGTACCGGCCTCAATCCAGGCGTCACGGGCCCTCTTGACCTCAGCGGGAGAAACTGAGGAAGCAGCGCAGCAGCCACAAGGATGTGACACAGATCAGAGTGAGTGCGGTCCCTCTGTGCCTCCCACGGCCCCAGCGTATGTTACTCTTGCCATGCTCAAGGGACCCCATCGTCAGACGTCGCAGAGAAACTTTCACGGTTGCGAAGGGAGTGTTCGGAGAGTGTGGCTGAGGGAGATCTAAGAGAGTTGAGATGCAAAGAACAGAGGGAAGTGCAGATCTTGGACCAGGAAGCTGGAGCTGGAATGGGCGGCGCACTGGTTGTCTTTGCGAGCTTAGAAACGGTCCGATCGCTTGTAGAGCTCGCAAAACACGGGAGCCGGAAAGATCAGCAGAGGTGCAATAGCGCCAGGAGCAGATCTGTTGGCTGACGTCAAAGATCCCGGTCCAATTGATCTGTCCATGCCATGTCGTCGTTGTTTGCCCGTCGCGGCTTCAAGAAGCCCGATGCCAAGAAGCTGAGGGCATCAGATGAAGAAGAAGACGAGCAAGATGTGCAGCAAGCGCAGCCCGATGCTAGCAGCGCGCAAGCTGCTGCTGTTGCCGCCGATGGACCTGGGAATGTCGCCACCAAGGCTGCACCGAAGCCCAGTGTGTGTGTGGCCGAGGAGGTACGCACACACGCACGGCGCATCAAATCAACACGGCACACATGAGTGATGTGATGCCATCACATCACATGCATCTTGTCCCTCCCTCTGTGTCTGTCCGTCAGGCCGATGAAGAGATCGCCTTCAAGGTGCGCAAGAGCAAGGCCAGCAAAGCCCTCAGCAGCAGACGCAAGCCCATCGATGAGGACGCACCCAGCCCGACAGCGGCGGCAGGCGGCGATCTCCCCTCCCCCTCCCCCTCCCCCCCACCGCCACCCGCCCCAGCAGACAAACCACCCAGAGGCCCGCCGTCCGTCACCTCTGACGGGGTGACCGTCACCCTCCGCACCACCCACAGCACTGACGCGCAAGGCGACGATGAGAGAGAGATGGGTGGCGGCGGGGGCGGCCGATATGGGCCGGGATCGATCCGTCGTCAGAACAGGCCGGCGTCTAACATCTTTTCGACGGCCGGCAAGGGCAGGGGTGTTGATGAGGGGATGGACGAGGACATGCTGGAGCGGCTGCGGGCGGCCAGTCTGGAAGGGGAGGAGGAGGAGGAAGACATGCATGGAGGTCAGGGGGGCGATGAGATACGCCTGACGACGGCGTCCAAGATCTACACACTGGATGATGACAACGACGCAGAAGACGACGAGCTGGTGAGTGAGGACGAGCAGGCGTGTCTGTCGTGTGCATATGCCATGTGGCCTGTGTGTGTCATGTCATGTTGCAGGGAGCGTCTGCCGAGGAGCTGGCCCGTCTGGCGCGAGCCAAGCGTGAGAAGCTGCGCCAGGCGGCGTCGTCAGCCGAGGAGTTCATCTCGCTCGACTCGAGCGCCGTCCCGCTCTCCGCAACCACACCCATTGACGATATAGGTACGCACCCAGCAAACCACAACAAGGATGATGCAAGGAGAAAAAAGCGGTCTGTTTCAGGTTCATCTGATCGTCTGAAGAAGCTCTCGAGCAAGGTGCAGCGGCAGCTCGGCCAGGCGGCTCCCTCAGCCTCCGCATCCGCATCCGTCCAGCAGGACCACCCTGTCCGTCAGAACGGCCGTCTGCCGCAGTCGATGGACGAGGACGAGGACCTCCTCGAGGGCGGGGCCATGGCGCTGGAGCAGGGGGTCAGCCAGTGGGAGCTGCAACAGATCCGAAAGGCTAGAGGCAGGACTGCTGGAGAGGCGCTCACCCAACCACAATACCACTACCACCACCAGCAGCAGCCGTCCTTCGAGGAGATGCCCGTCTCCGCGCCGCCGCCCGTCGTGTATGGTGCTCTGCCTCTGCCGTCGTCCGTCCCGACGGCCATGGTGACCATTCCGTCGCCCGATGCCGCGCTGCAGGGGCTGCAGATGCGGACGCATGTGCTGCGTAGCGATGCGGCCAAGCGGCGGTCTCGTAATGAGGGGATGACCAAGGAGAGGGCTGACACGGCCGAGATGATCGACACACTTGAGAAGAAACTTCAGAGTAGGCGCGTGCGGGGAGGAAGGCATGGCGTGGTGTTTCGCGCATGCCCTCTGTGTGTGTGTGTGTGTGGGTGGGTGGGTGGGTATCAGAGCTTGACAAGGATCTCGACTTCTTCCAGCGGTTTGAGGAGTACATAGAGGACCTCAGCGGACTGCTCGGTGAGTCAGTCAGTCAGTGGGATGGGGATGGGGCCACAATGGATTCTCCGTCACATCACACAAACACCGGCTGCCTCTCTCTGTGTCTCTGTGTGGTGGTATATGTGTGTGTGTGTGTGTGTGTGTGGTGGATCCATCCGTCCATCCATCCATCCACTCACCGATCAGCCGTCAAGAGTGAGCCTGTCAATGTGGCCCTCCAAACCCTCGAGCTGATGGAAGCCGACTTCGCCAAGAGAAGGTACGGTACCCACGGCAGCAACAAACAAGGAAGGAAGGCCCACAAGAAAAAGACAACCAGTGCCTCCCTCCGCGGCCCGCCCGCCCTCTCTCCTCCCTCTCCGTCAGGTGGAATCGTCGTGTGCAGGAGCTGGACGACGAGCTCTTCCAGGCGGGCGAGCGACACCCAAAGTTCCAACAGGAGAACAAGGGTGCGTCACCTCACACCCTTCAACACACATACAGACATACGAGTGGATACTAACTGCATATGTGTGTGGTGTGGTGTGGTGTGGTGTGTGCAGACGAGAAGGATGAGTTCGGCCGGAGTCGTGCGTTCCACCACAACCAGGCGCGGCTGCAGCGCATCGACAGGCGGCAGAAGCGGCGAAACCAACAGAGGCAGCGCATCATGGCCAAATCGCTCGGCGGGCAGAAGCAATCAGACATACTCGAGGACGGGTGAGTGGGCATGGCGTGGCAGGGTGGGGTGCGCACACAGGAGGTCGGATGCAGGCAGGGCAGGGAGGCATCTGTTTGTCTGTGTCTGTGTGTCTGTCTCTGTGGCTGTGGTGCGTGGCGTGTCTGTGTGCAGGTGGGTGACGTCTGACGATGACCAGGACGATGGGAAGGAGCAGCTCGTCGCTGACAGAAGTACATGAGCAAGCCCTGACACTTGTGTGCGACATCAAAGGTGTGTCTGTCCACACCACACTGTTGCAGAGAAGTTCTGCGAGGCGGCTCAGGCGATCTTCCGTGATGCGTCAGAGGACTTCAGGTCCGTCCACCACATACTCGAGCGGTTCAAGGAGTTCAAAACCAAGTAATCAGTCAACCACACACACTCATTCACAGCACACAATCCCGACACTGTCCATGGCTACACAGGCACAACGACCGTTATCGGGCCAGCTACTGCGGGATGAGCCTGCTGGAGGTGCTGCAGCCCTTCGTCACACTCCAGTTACTCTGGTGGGACCCCTTCGCCACAGGTAGGTGACCTAGCCACCCACACCACACCCTTCTCCCTTCTCCCCCCTCCTCAGTACCTCTGCGTGTGTCAATGGATGTGGCCGTGTGTCTGTCAGGTTCGGCCGCCGACGCTGAGAGTGCGGTGTGGTACGGCGGCCGTCGTCTGATCGGCAGCGCGACGCTGGAGGAGTTCGAGTGGTATGAGCTGATGGTGACCTACACCGACATCGACACACAGGCCGACGGCAAGGAGGACCCCGACGGAGACCTAGTGCCACAGCTGGTCTTTAAGGTGAGTCAGTGAGGGGTGGAGAGGAGAGGGTGGGAGCTGGGAGCTCTAGAGGCTTCACACGAAGTGCTGGCTGTGCATGGCGTCTTGTCTTGTTCCGCGTGTGTGTGTGTGTGTGTGTTTGGCCCACTGCAGGCGGTGTTTCCCCGGATTAAGGCGTGGCTGGAGGCCTATTGGGATCCCACCTCCCTCACACAGACGAAGAGGTGGGTGAACACATGAATGAATGAATGAATGGGCAGACAGACGGACAGACAGACAGAGACACACATGCATTCATTCATTCATTCATCGGGCCGTCTTTATCCGTTCGTTGTGCAGGTGTGTGGAGCTGCTCAACGAGCTGCTGCTCTTCAGAGCCGACGACGAAGCCTCCACCAAACCGATCAACGTACCCCCCTCCACACACAAGGCACAAGGCACACAGGCTGCAGGCCTGCATCTTTGTCGACCCTTCCACACAGGAGGTGTTAGAAGCAGCAGTGAAGCGCATGACGGCCTGCATCGACGACCTCCTGGCCTTCCCCCAGACGAGCCCGAGCAGCCTCCCGGAAGGCCCGCTGTCCCCCCTGGTGGTGCGTCAGGTGTGGCGAGCCCTCAAGGTGTCGCGCTGTGCGGCGGAGTGGCAGGACGTTCTCAGCACAAACGCTATTCAGCAGTTCGTTGTCAAGGTGAGTGAGGTGGGCGGCCGGAAGGAAGATGTGGTGTGTGCTCATCTCATTTGCCACTCGTGTGCTGTGCTGTGTTGTGCTGTGCCGATCGTGTGCTGCCTTTATGTGTGTGTGGCGCGGCGCATGCAGGAGGTTTGGCAGCAGCGGCTGGCCAGGTGTCTCTCCGCATCGCGCCCTGACGATATCGACCCCCTGGAACGGGTAAGAGTGAGTGAGACATGACGCCGAACCACACACACACACACGCACGAGATCGAGATCTCTCTCTCTCTCTCTTCTCTCTCTCTCTCTCTCCCTCCGTCTCGCTCTCTTGTAATTCATCTCATCCATAATGCCACTCGTCCGTCAGTATGTGATGGACCTGCCATTGGGTTGGATGGTCGCCGGGCGGCCCGAGGGTCTCGGCAGCTGCGTCCAGATGTGCGCCACCATGGCCGTCAAGCACGCCCAGCCCAGCAGGGAGGGGGGGCTGGACATGCCACGCCGGGCGGTCAAGCTGCTCAAGCGACTGCAGGCTTACGACGTATGTGAGGGGGGGGAGGGAGGGAGGGAGGGAGGGGGAGTGGGCATGGCAGAAAGGGCACTTTGTTGATGTGTGTGTGTGTGTGTTTGTGTTTGTGTTTGTAGGAGGCGCGTGACATCCAGAAGCGGCTTGGCATCACAGACGGCATCTGACATGTATGTGTTGGTGCCCATGGGGTTCATCTCTGTGCTGTGTGTGTGACCTGCCCGGGTCCGCGGATGCGTCAACCGATCAATCAACAAATGCAACTGAGAGTAGCTGTTGTGCCGTGTGCTCACGTGAGAGTTGAATTCCGTCGGTTGAACGAGCGAACGAACGAACAGGAAGGGAAGCCAGCTGAGGTCCGTCCAGCCCCGCACTCACATGCACACAAACAGACGGCAAAGCAATACCGATACACAACACACACATACAATTAACCACTGGTGCCTGCAGTGACTGACTTCCCTGACTGACAGACAGACCGACACACAGGGGGAGAGAGAAAAGGGCAAAGGAGACAGACAGGGAGGGAGAGAGAGGGGGTGGGCGAGGGGTGTGCGACCGATCTGATCTGTCTATGCGTCTGTGCATGGTATGCTGCCTGCCACACTACGCAAACCATCAACAGATGAAGACAGACAGACAAACAGATGGACACTGCCGGCCACATAGCTAGCGTACACACACGACAATAGATAGATAGAGACCGGCAGGCCCTTGTTGCGTGACAGCCCTTGAAAACACGGGCCGTCCCGGACGAGCAAGAAAGCATCCCCCCTCCTCCCTCCTCCCTCCCATGGCAGCGAATGTCCTATGTCTACGGTGGGTGTGTGTCTGTCTGTCTGTCTGTCCGTCTGGTCTGCCGAAAAAGACCCCCCTGTCTCTCCAAGTCGGTCTCGCAGAGATGGTCGGCACTCATGGACACACATGATACACACAACTCTTCTTTCAGCCCAGCTGTTGTTCGTTCATTTAGTTGCTTTCGCATTCCTTCCTTAACGCATCCGATCCACTCATTCGCTTCGTCACGTATCGCTTCGTCACATGCAGTCAGTCAGTCAGTCAGTCGATCGTCTCAATCCTCGACCGCTCGGTCGTCTCGACAAGCAAGAGCCGAGCTGCCCTCCCTGTGCTGAGACCCTTCAATCCATCAGCCAACACACACAACGTACGTGGCACATACAAAGATAGAGAGGTAGAAAGAATCCCTCCCGGCCCGGCCCTCTCCCCGCCCTCCCTCATCTCATGCATCAATCACTGAGTCCGTCCATTCACTCAATCAGTCAGCCGGCAAGGAGAACAGACAGACGAAGGAGTAGGGAAGGAAGAAGGACTGTTCTGTTCTGTTCTGCAATGGTGCATGGCATGGCAGTGGTGGTGTTGGGTCTTTGCCCGCTATGCGAGCGCGCCGGCGGCCTCCAGTGTGTCGTCACCAGAGGCGCCGCCGGCACGACTGACAAAGACAGGAGTAGTCAAAGGGAAACAGAGAGATAGGTGAACGGGGCGGGGCGGGCACAGACGAGAACACAGCCACTGGCAGGAAGGAAAGAAGTGAGGCTGGATCGAGCGATCGAGCGATCGGCCATCCAGCCAGCCACGCGAATGACAAATAAAGACAGGCACACGCACACATACACAGAGAGACATGCGATGGATCATCCAGTCAGTCAGTCGTGAAGGGTGGCCATGCGATGTGATGTGATGCGGTGTCATGGGATCGATGAAGCCAGTGGGATGGATGGATGGATGGTCGCTGCCGTGCTGCACACGTGAGGGTGACGTGATGTGACGTAACGTGACGGAGGGACAGCAATAAGGGCAATCAATCGACGCACACAGGCACAAAGACAGACAGACAGACAGACAGCAAGAGAAGCATGCAGCCAGACCGATGGATGCAATGCAGCACAGAAAGAAAGCAGCTGCTCAGTGAGTGTGACTAGCAGCACCACCACACCATCCAATCCATCCCGTCTTCTGTGCTACTAACTATACATATACAAACCACCCACCATCCCTTCCCTGCGAACGAACATATCTGCCTGTGCGTCCCGCACACTCATTATGGCATCGCAGCATACATAGCCCATGGATGGATTGATGGCATATAAGCTGATAATACACACCGCTGCATCGCATCGGTCGCTTCCTCTCTCTCGTGCAGAAGGTTTTCTCGCCAGGCCGGTGCAGACGGTGAGCGCGCTGATCATGTCTTGACCACCGCACTCGGCGTCGGCACCGGCGGAGGGAAGAACGAACCACAAAGGAGGGAGGGAAGGCTATGGTAGGAGCAGCACAGGGCCACACACACCCACACACACACAAACACAGCACAAGGCAGCACACCGCCCCTCTCGCTCGTTGTCTCCCCGTTTCAAAGCGCCCCGGACACCACACACACCATACACCACAACCGCCCATCCATGGTACATTGAAACATACACACACGGCATGGAGATTACGGACACGCACGCGGAGAGAGAAACAGAGAGTGATAGAGCACATCCGGACAGACAGACAGACAGACAGCGAGACAGACAGACGGACGTGCCAGCGTGCGAAAAAATGCGCCATCCAATCCGCCACGCCACACACACACATGTATGGTAGGTATGCACTCGCGCTCTCACTCACCCCGCGTGTGTTGCGTCAATCGCTCAGAAAAATGATCAAGTACAGCCGCTGAGCAGACAGACAGACAGACACACCCACACATCCGGCCGACAGCCAGACAAAGGCAGTGCGGGGGTGTTGTGTTCCCTTATCCCCACCCACCTATGAGCCTTCCTTCCCTCCCTCGTGTGGTATATGTGACATGCGCTGACTGACCGACCGACCGACCGGCGAACACAGATAGACACATCATCCATTCGACTAGAGTGACTGACTGACAATGGCGTGTGACGCGACGGACGGACGGACGGATTCAACGACAGACACTTGGGGAAGAGGCCTTCGAAAAACGAGGAGCGGTAAGTGGGGGAAAGAGAGACTCGCAAGTACGCCGCACCACCCGAGAGTGACAGCTGAGCTGCACAAGCATCACACACACAGACAGACAGACAGACAGGCTGCGCACAGCACACCACGTGGGCACGGTTGGTTGCTGTCCCTCACTCGCCTGGCCGGCCAGCCGGCCCGCCACCAACGAGGAAAAATGTCAGCCGACAGCCAGCTACCTACCTACCTAGTCAGTCCGTCAGTCAGATAGTGATTTTCTCTCCGTACTTGCTACGCTACAGGTTCTTTGTTCTTTCGATCTTTCGTTCCTACAGCCAGCCAGTGAAGCGCCCCTCTCCTCTCTCCATCCATCCACCCTGACTAACAAGTGCCTGCCTGTCCGTCTCTGCTGCATGTCTGTCCCGTGAGTGGAGTGTGAGAGTTGTGTTGTGTTGTGTTGTGTGTGCAGTGGGTGGATTGGATGGCGGCCGAAAGAAACACTTCCGATCTCTCTCTACCTCCCTCCCTCCTTCCCTCCCCATCTCTCCAGTAGCAGCTACCTACAGCAAGTCTGAAGTGACTGACCTGCCTGCCTGCCTGCCTGCCTCCCCCACACAGACGTGGCCGAAGCGTGAGAGGTGGGCGAGTGAGTCTCTTGATCGGTGAGCGCCGCGCGTGCGTGTCCATCCCATCCATCGGTGGCGTGCAAATCAACACCGTGACCCAAAATCCCCCCTCTACCCCTTGTTTGTGTGGCTAAACAAAACTAGGGCGTATGTGTGTGTATATATATGTGTGTGTGTGTGGCGGACCGGCGTGACACACGAGCGGCCAATGAAGAGCCTGACAGACAAGACAGACGCGGCAAGAGGGAGGGCGAGAGGTGGCCTTTGGAAAAACAGCACGAGACAAATACAGACAGACAGACAGACAGGGAGAGAGAGAGATCGGGGTGAGGGGCCACACACTCACTCAGTCACAGTCACACACACACACACACATGGCGAGAGTGCGTATACGAGCATATGTAGGCAGGTGTGTGTCTGCTGGCAGGCTGGCTACATGACATGAATGCGGCAGTCTCCACTCCACTCTCCTTAACTTTACCTCCCTCCCTCCCTCCCCTCTGTCGTTCGTTTCTCCACGCGCAGACAAAAATACGGCCTGCCTGTCGTGTCCATCCATCCATCCATCACACGCACCATCACAGGCACCATCACAGGCACCATTCATTCATCTCACTCAGACAGACAGAGAGAGACAGGTCAGCCAATGAGTGAGGGTGCGGGCGGAGAGACGAGCGACCGGGTGGGGTCATGCCAGTCAGCACAACACGCCACAGCACAACACAACACATCACACGCAGAGGGACACATCGATGGTGTGTGTGAGGTCAGCTCTCTCTCACACACACACACACGAGCAGGCAGGCAGGCAGGCAGGTCGGTCGGCAAGTACACCCCACCTCACCTCCCATCGCTTGCTTCCATGCGCCAGCCCGGCCCACACACAAGTGACAAACGAACAGGGGGGAAGGAGGGAGGGGCGGGGAGGGGCGGCCGAGCACATATGGAATGGCTGACGCAAGGACGATAGCTGCGGGAGGGGCGCGCGCCGTGTCTCCTCTCTCTCCCTCCTCGCTCCCTCGCTCCCGCGCTCTCAGCATTTCTGCGGTCGGAGCTTCACACTGAACGGACAGACAGACAGACAGGGATTGTGGGTGAGTTGTTTGTGCTTGGGCTGGGTCTCTCTCTCTCTCTCTCTCTCCCTCACTGACTGACCTGGGCAGTGGTCCGTCTGCGTCGGGGAATGGGATCTGAATGCCGTTCTTGAACAGGAGCGGCTTGTACTGCGGAATCGGGATGGACATCACCTGTGAACACACACAGGGGAGACAGGGGAGACGGGGGAGACAGGGGAGGACAGACGGACAGGCGATAAGGGCGATGAGGGCGAGGCTACCGCCTGCCTGTGTGGGCACACCACCCGAGTAACAAACAAACGTACCGCAGAGTTGCGGTAGTGCTCGATGTTGTCCCTCAGCCCCTGCACACGGCCCCATGACACCTCACACACCTACACAGACAGACACACACCCCAACAGAAGAGACATAGAGACGGCCCTGCTGTGTCACTTGGATGTGTGTGGTGTGTGTCCGTCACGTCACGTCACGCCAGCTACCTTGTGGGATTTGAAGGCGTTGAGTTTGTATCCGTGGAACATGTTCTTGAACATCTCGGCGTAGTGGCTGTGGATGAAGTTGATGAACGCGTAACCCACGTTGCCTGCACCGACCAACCAACCAACCACACACAGACAAACAGACAGACAGACAGACAGGCACTGTCAGAGACAGACACACGAATGGCAGATCTCTGGCTGCATGGCGTGACACACATTACATTTGTTTCGGAAGTCGATGGGCAGGTAGAAGAAGTCGTACAGACCCTGGAAGGAATGAAGAAATGCACCGAGGGAACACACAGGTGTCAGTCAGTCAGTCAGTCCAGCAGAGCAGCGCTGTCTCCGTGTCTGGGCTTGGCTGTGTGTGCAGTGCACTGCAGTTGAGGTGACTGACTGACCTTGAAATGTTTGTTCATGACGTCGAGTAGCATCCTCTGGGTGTACTTGTTGGGGATGTTGCGCAGCATCACCGTCGTCAACCCGTGCTGCGGCTGGGGCAACTCACCTGCACACGAGAAGACGAGACGAGACGAGACGAGACGAGAGGTGACAGACACACACAGACACAGACACAGACACAGACATTCACTACACGTGCCGGCAGTGTGTTGTGCTGTGTTGTGTGTGTGTACTTATGTTTGGCGTGGGGACATAGTCAGGGTCCGACGTGTCGACCATCACGGCGTTGATCTGATCCAACAAACCCTGAGTCGCCGCACTCACAGGACGCTGCACCCATCCAATCCAATCCAATCATACGACATCCACTCCACAGACAAACCACTCAAGACTCTCTGCTTCACCCCAATCCCATAGTGTTCAATCACGTCACGTACATCGTGTCGTGTGGGCATGCTGCCGCTCCGATTGGGTGGTCCCCCACCGCCCCCCGGCCCGCCCTGCGCCGATGGCGGCTGGCCGTGTGTGGGCGGGATGGACGGGGACGGCAGCGGCGATGACGACGTCATGCACGGCACTGCACTAGGTGGCTGCTGGGCGGCCCCCATGCCGCCCACACCCGGGGCACCACCCGCACCCCCTCCCACGCCGGGCGACTGTCCCTGCTGCATCTGCGGCATGCCGCCCTGCCCCCCTCCCCCTCCCCCCGCCCCCGTGTGTCCGTGTGACGGCGCCGTGGATGCGTTCGAGTTGGCATCGCCCGACGCCGCCTCCTCGGCCTCGCTCTCGTGCTCGGGGTGCTCAGCCACGGGGGGAAACACAGAGTTTTCATACACAGTCTCCGCTATGTTGAGCTTGGGCGTCCGAGGACCGTCCAACACCGCATCGCTAGACTCCGTCCGCGGCCTGCATTGTGTGTGTCACACAGCAACACACCAATCAGAGTGATGTGAGGACCGACCTGTTGTTGGCTATGCCCTCCCTCTTGTGTGCGAATGTGTGATGGTGCGTACCTTCTAGAGAGGACGTCCTGCAGCTCCTCCGAGAGGTGCAGGAAAGTGTTCTTGACGAGTATCTTGTTCGGGCCTCCATTGGGCGAGGCCACTGTCTCGATGACCGGCGCCGGCTGGTGGAGGGCCGACACCACCTGGATGTGCCGACGGGGAGGCCGAGCGGGGTGCTCCCCTATCATCTCAAGTGACACAGCCGCAATGGCGCCTCCACAGGATGACTCTCACACAGACAGAAGCCGCACGCCTCTGACGCGTGGATCCCCTACCTCGCTACCCGTCACTGCCTGCTTCCCTCTTTCTTTCCACTCACTTTTGCAAGCTCAAGAGGGCTTGCAGATTAGCTCGCAGATGGAAATCGCTCGTCGAAACGAAGGAAGCAGTGATGGAGGACTGCACTCACAGCGGCTTCACACTGCTGTGCACATAGGTTGTGTGGAGATCTATCTCTCTCTGTGCGTGACAGTTGGTGCATGCGCGATTGGCGGACAATCATCGGGCTTACGAGGGCCGATCAGAGCCGTGCGCCACATCAGGTGACGTACGAGCAGCAGCAGGAGGAAAGCGCGTGAAGGGGCTCGTTAATGGACGGGTGGCTTGCTACCTTGTGTGTCGTTGTCGTGTTGTGCAGGTCTGTCTCGGGGCGGACTGATTGAGCGCCATTGTATACCATTTGACTCATAGCTAGGTGGGCGAGCACACACACAAGACATGCACCAGGTGTCTGCCCATCCCTTGTCGCCTCTCTGTGTGTGTGGTCGGTGCAGCTCTGTGTGTGTGGTCGGTGCAGCTGTTGGTGTCTGTTTTGAGTGATGTCTGAGACTCACGACAGCCACATGGCCTCCACTGCCATGGCGGACGGTGCTGATGGCGATGCAGGTACGCCACACACCACTACGACAACACATCAAACACACACCGTCCTCGCCATTACGTGTGTGTGTGTGTGTGTGCAGGCGACCCGGTGTGTGCAGGCGATGTAGCTGAGGAGGAGCATGGCGGCAGTGGGCAGGCTGAGGAATCAGATCGCAATGGCGCAGACAGCGGTGAGTGACTAGACCTGCCACACAGACCATTCGACGCACACACACACCAGCAGCACACTCATGCCAGGTGTGTGTGTTGGTGTCCAGGCGGCCAGCAGCAGCATGAGGAGGACGGGATGGCCAATGAGATGGCCGACGAGGAGGGAAGTGATAGCGAATCGGTGAGGCACTCATCGACACCAACACTGGTCCATGCGATGGAGGCACGTACGTCATTTTCCGCCCCTCTGCCTCTTTGTTGTGTGTCAGGATGGCATGTGGGAGGAGGAGGAGGAGGAGGATGACGACGACCAAGATGACGATATCGATGACGGATACTCCGACGACGGCTTCATTGAATATGAGGAGGAAGGTACGCCAGACAGACGCGAGAAAAGGTCCTGTGCCCACAGCTGTTCAATCGCCGTCTGCTGTATGGTGGCTGTGTGTTGCAGGTCATCCTCTCAGTGGCCTTGCGGATCCCACTATCCCTGTGCCTGACGACCACTTCGGACTCGATGAGCTGGAGGCTCGGTTCCCCGAGTGCACCAACGACGCCACCAAACTGCTGTCACGGTGCATCATCGGCCGCCGCTTCACCAGCGCGCGAGAAGTGACCGACCTCATCCGACAGCAGGGCGCCCACCCAGATGTCATGACGGGGCTGGTGGTCAAGGACAGCAATGGTGTGGTCCTCGGCTACCCGCTCCTGTGTCTCGCCATTGACAACAAGTCGGACTACACGGTCATGACCATCGAAGCCGAAGGCAGTGTGGGCGACAATGATGAGCGTCCCGTCGCCCTGCCGCAGTGGTCGTCTGACGAGCTGCAGAGGGCCGTTCTGACCGCACTGCTCGACGGACGAGCCGACCCCAATGCGGCAGCCGACGAGACGGAACAGACGCCCCTCCACTTGGCGATTGCATGCGGCAATCAGACGGCCTTCGACATCCTGACGGCCCGCCGCAACATCCACATGCGCGTACCACCAGACTCACCCATGGTGATGGCGCTGCCCCGTCCGCTGCGTCCGCCTCCCCCCGAGTATCTGCAGCTGCTCATGTCGATGTATCGGCAACTCATCGAACGAAACCCCACCCTCGCCACCGAACGAGACGTCGGCAACAACCTGGTGCACAAGGCAGCCGTCAACTCAAAGGGCCACTATCCCCAGTCCTTCATCGACGCCTACCTAGACCTCATCACGGCGAACGGGGCCGACATGATGGCAGTCGATGCCCGCATTGGATGCACGCCACTGCATTACGCGGCAGCGCATGGCTCTCCCCACGTGGCCGACTACCTCTGCCGCAAGCTGCCCGCTGACCAGATCAACAGACGGGCCGACGACGGCGGCTGGACGCCCCTCGCCAGGGCTGCCTACGAGCTCTATAAGCGCCAGCAGGCCCAGGATGAGGACGACGCCGAGATTGACGGCTACAAGCTGACCATCCGCAGTCTGCTGCGGGCGGGGGCCGGCATCACCACCATCTCCACAGCCACAGAGAGAGACCGCTGTGGCCGCCAGCTGGTGCTGACGGAGTATGCGTCGGTGCTCAACGAGGTGGGCCCTGCCGTCATGTCGGCCGTCAACGCCGCCCTCGCCCCCCACCGCTCCCTCGCGGCCCTCCTGACACCCCGGCTGGCCGTCGGCCCGCAGGAGGCCCTCATCTTCGGCTGGCTCATCGCGTCATACCTCTTCGACATGGATGCCGCCCAGGAGACCACCACAGAGGAGGCCATCGGTGTGCGGCACTCCGACATGGCTCGGCGTCTGTGTGCGGCAGCGGAGCACTTCGTCAAGTCGGCAGTGTACCAGGCCAGCAGCAACAGGGAGGTGGTCGGCGGGACGGCCGATGTGGGCGGCCAGGTGGTGCGTGTGCCGCAGCTGCAGTGCTTTGTGGTTGGCGGTGTGGGCGGCCGCAAGATGGAGTTGCGTGAGGTGGTGCAGCGGGCCATTCTGGACGAGGCGGCCCAGTGGGGGCTGGCGGGGGACATCGACAACGGCTTCAGCAAGGATGTTGCTGCCGTGGTGTGGGGGGCGGTGGGGTGGGTCGAGAGGGGGCGGGACGGCAGGGAGACGTTCAGGTCGCTGCAGATGACGTGAGATGCGGACACACACACTTTTCGCTGTGGGGTGTTGTTCATGACGTGTTGTCCGTCTCGTAATGCGTCTGTTTTTTATATGGCGCACTATGACGTGAAAGTGTCTGTGTGTTTTGTTGTGTGTGTGTGTGTGCGTGTGTGATTATGACGGTATGTCTCCGTGCGTGTGTATGCGATGCGTGTGTGCTGTCTGACAGACATGACTTGACGTCAGTCAGTTGCTTTCAAGTAGGCCAGTCCAACATGAAGACAGACAAGAGTACACCCACCCTTTAGACTGAACCAAACTTACTCACAGCCACGGACACACTCTTCTCCGCGCACGAGAGCCAGATTGACACGATGCAGAGAAGGGAGAGAGTAACGCACTGATGTGGTCGTACACACACACACGCACACACACGCGAGCACAGTGACAAGCCAAACCACAAGCCGGTCACGCAATCCTCCGTGTGTGGTCTGGTTTGGGGGTCGGCGTGTGCATGTGAATCTCCGTGAACGGATTATTTACCGACACTTCCGAGTGCGCACAGACCGACCGACCGACCGACGGAAGAAGTACCACGACCAACGTGTCTGGATTGAAATGGCTCGGCTCCTGGCTATTTTTGGTTCGCTGAGGTGTTAGCCCATACATATGGACTCTACCGGCTGCGTGATTCCATCCATTCCATCTGATGGAATGGATGAGAGCATGTAAGTAATTAGGTAGCCACACCCCATCCATCCATCCATCCATCGTGTTTCGAGGTCATTTCGCACATTTTAAGCAGTGTCTGTCGCATTGCGGAAAAGGCTGCTTGGCTGATTGAACGATGTGAGTCTCATGCATGCATTCATTCACTCATGCACACCCCTGCGGAAAAATCTCAGCACACACACACACACACCGGTCAAAAATCACGCTCTGTCTCAGCAGGAAGAAAACACACACGACAATAAATCGCCTGGCCTGGTCGCAACAATCACGCCAACATCGCCCACAAGGCCTGCCTGCCTGCCTGCCTGCCTGCAATGCCCTAGGCATAGCTCTACTCGTCTGTCTGCCTTTTGACGCAACGCCACTACACCGAAAAACCCCTCACACGGAACACTCTCCCTCCCTCTCAGTCAGTATGTGGTCAGGCCAGTCTTCTTGATGAGCTCCCGCTGTTGCGTGAAGAACTCCGGGTCAGGCCGTCGTCCCTTGATACTCTCCCTCAGCTTCTGAATCTGAGCGCTGCTCATCCCGCCAACATCCGCAGCCGGCTGCTGTGCGGGTGGCGCGGCCTTCTGTGCTGGGGCCGCGGCCTTGGGCGGCGAGGCGGTAACCTCGGCCTTCAGCACCGGCTTGGCCGCCTCCTTGGCTGGCTCGGGCGCCTTAGCCACCACCTCCTCTTTCTTCTGCGGTGCGGGTGGGGGTGCTTCCGGCGCCTTGGCGATCTCCTTGACGGGTTCGGGCTGCTTGGCGGGCGGCTCTGGCTCGGGAGCCTTGGCCACCTTCTCCTCCTTCTTGGGCGCAGGGGGTGGCGGCGCTGGGGCAGACTCAGGCTTGACGCTCTCGTCCAAACCACTCACCTGCAGGCCATGACACGACAGCCAACAGAGAACAGACAGACAAGCAACACAATGCCGTCCGTCATTCACAGGACATCTCAGGGCGTCGTGTCAGCGACTCACATCAATGTCGATCTTGAAGCCTTCATCCGCCCTCGCTGTCGGCACGAATGGTGACACCACTGCAGGCTGCTCCATCGCCGGGAGGGAAGGCAGCGTCACGCCCGGCGTCAAGGCCAGCAGCGGGACGAGCAGCATTGATCGCGCCAGATCATCTGGGCGGGCCCTCCTGGACTGCAGGGACGTCTGCGAGGCTCGTCGTAGGGATGAGAGAGGCGCCCCGGGTTGCCGGAAGGCAAGACTTGAGCTTGTGAGGCATGCAAGGCAGACAACAAGGATGGAGGGCGTTCGCATTGTGTCTGAGGAGGCGCCGATGATGGTAGATGCCTCGGAAGCTCGCACTTAGGACATTCCGTGAAACCGCTCTCTAGAAGGCGTTTGAAACCGCTCTCTAGAAGGCGTTTGTTCCCGAAATGCTCGCAGCAGAGGCCCACACACGACGCAGATGAGCCCAGATGAAAGGGGGTCCCAGCGGCACTGCGTCTCAAGTTGGTGCTTCCTTCGGCGGTGACAGCCGCTCGAGCAGCGGACCTCGTTGGATATGGGCATAGCGGCAGACGCAGACGCGCAGAGCAGTAGCCAAGACCAGGTACCATCACTCTCAACACACACGCAACGGCCTCCCTTCTCAATAGGCCTTGTCTGTCTCGCTGTTGTTCCCTGGGTGTGATTGGCCGGTATGATAATGGTATGATATGACATCAGGCGCTGTGCAACCCGCTGCGGATCACCCCTGTGCACGTGCCCTTCTGGGGCTACAACATGGGCGGCGCCCTGGACGGCCCTTTCCTCACCCCTCCCTGGCTCGTCGTCAGTCTGCCCACACTCGTCGTCTACCTGGGAGGCTGCCTCACCGCCGCCGCTCTAGTGGCTCGGGGCGCGCAGGAGACCGACGAGAGGGGGGCCAAGGTGCCGTGGCACTGCCGCACGTCGACCTCCCTGATGGCCTACGTGTGGGTGCTCTTCTTCGTCCTCAGCATGATTGTCCTCGTGGGGCCGGTCTCATTCACCTTCTTCCTCATTTATGTCCACTACCTGACCGAGCTATGGCTGCTCTGGAGCTTCTTCCCGCAGCGGGAGGTGCAATCACCGCCCGGCGGCCACGGCACTCACGGGCACGTTCATGCCCATGCTCATGCCGGGCGTAATAAGAGGAGCGGCAATCGCGTGCGGTTCCTTTGCGGACTGGTGGCTTGTGGCGTCCTGGGGCTGCTCGTGACGACCTTCCTGTTCTCGCTGCAAGGGCGGACGCTCGCTCACTATGTGCTGGAGCTGACGAGCGACGTGGTGATATGGGTGGGAGTGTGGGCCTGGTGGAGCATCGAGCGGCGGAGGAACCTCTTCCTGCCGTCCTCTGTCCACTCGCTGCCGATCACATGGCCCCTGCTGACCATCCCCGCCGCCCTCTCAGCGCACATCGTCGCCCTGCTCTTCCTATCGCTCAACTGCTCAGGATGGTCGCCCTACGGCCAGATGCTCGCACTCCCCCTGCACACTGGCGTGCCCCTGGGCGTCTGCTGGTACCTGGCCTCCCTGCTGCCCTCACGCTTGCCGCAGTCGGTGCAGTCCGACACAAACATCCCGTCATTCACGCCGGCGAGGAGTCGGCGGGCGGCGATGTTTGCCCGGCTGGGCAACTGGAGGAAGTCGAGGCAGCCGACCAGCGAGCGTGACGACGGCGATGGGCCGGACGACAGGGGGGAGCACTCGCCATCCAACGGCAAGCTCGGCGGGGACAACAACAAGGAGAGAGAAACGGGCAACACCCAGAACGACCTCGAAGCCGACGCGCCGCCCAACTCCACCTCCCCTCCCCCTCCGCCCGACGGCCCCGCAGCCAGAAGGGGCCGGCCCCCTAGAGCGACGTCAAGACATCCCACCCAGCCCCCACCCCCGCCCCCATCCGCCATCTCGGCGCCGACCTCCCCGCTGTCTCATCGGTACCAGAATGAAGGCGACGACAGCCCAGATGTGCAGGGGCTGGGTGAGGTTCTTGACCAGAACTTCCCCTTCGAGGATAGTGGGGGCGTCGGGCAGCCCAGCAGTGTGGGGGGCGTGGTCACGCCTTCCAGCGCGTCAAACTACTCGACGCCGACGCTTGGGGAAGGTCCACTGGGGCGGCCTGCAAGCCCTCTTCTCGAGTCGCAGGGTGCGACGATCGGCAAGGAGGAGAGGGAGCGGCGGTCGCCGAGAGACAGACCGCGGCATGTGGGTGGGGCTGGGGGCGGCACATCCGTTGCTGTGGGTGTGGGTGGTCAGCCGACGGCCACGCCTAGTACGAGCACTTCATCACCCTCAGAGGGGCGGCAACCGATGCCAGGTGGGTCGAATGAATGGACACCACACCAGTGGTCGGAAAATTGACTGGGCTATCCTTTGTTCATTGTGTGTGTGTGTGTGTGTGTGTGCAGACGTGGCAAGTGAGTCTCCACCCGGCCGCCGCAGCGAGGTGACTTTCGATGCGGAACGTGAAGTGTTCGACATGGTACGCACTTGTCTTTGACCTCATGACAAAGCTGAAGGCCTTGCCGTCATATATGTGTTGTCCCTCCCCTGCCTGCGTCACTCAGGCCGTCGATCAGTGGGTTCAGGAGGTTGACATCACCCCCAACCAGCTATGGAGAGAGCTCCAAGAAGCCACACAACCGCCACACATCGTATCGGCCGTCCGCGCACAGCAGCACCAGCAGTCGCATTCGCAGTCGCCTCCCCCCGTCCCCCCCCTCCCCCCAGTAGTCCCCCACTCCCTCCCGCCCCCGCCCCAAACC